ATTGATGTCAAAATTATCAAACTTTAAAACATTTTATTATTTTCTTTATCTGTTGATTTTGAATACAACAAACTGTCTGAATATTTGAAATATAGTTTCTGTATTTTAACTGAATCTGACTCACTGTTAAAACTGCCCGGCTGGTAAAAAAGAAGCTTCTCATTTTCATTATTGCTTTGATTTCGATCTCCCGATATTTTATTGTGTTTCGTTCTATATGTAGCCTTTTCCATTATCGTAATAATTCATGCTGATTTTGAATTTTTTGAATGTATGCAATTTATGCCTAAAAATATATAAGCAAGAGAAATGAGATGAACGTGATGAATCAAAATACTAATATTATTCCATGAATTTCATTTAAAATATATTGCTAGGTTTGCTTGAATCATTTTAATCATTTGTCCTATATGTTTGATCCATTATCATGATTAATACATATAAATGAAGCACCGTGAATTGAAAAGACGCTGGACACGTTAAGACAAGCTAAAATTTAGATGCAGGTAAATAAGACGATAGTGTTGACTGTTTGAAAACACTTCTGCTAAAATAAAACTTGTGTCAGTTATCTTTGGTTTTCTTACTGTCGGATTTGCTTGACGTGCCATTTTACCATTTCCTATCATTAACGCAAAATTGACATTAATGCCAAGAATATAAAATGGTTATGTGCTAAAATTACGAATAGCACCTTAGGTTTCTTCCGTTTCGTTTATCTTTTATAAATCTAAAAGATGATTGCGTAATTCATAAAATACCTGCTTCTTGGAAAACCATTGCAATAAGTTCTTTCATGCGTGGGCACTTAGAATCATAAAAGCATCGTTATCAGAACTACGTTATTGTCACAGCTCTTTGATATTCATTTCATTCAAAGCGATAACACCGTTTCTCTTTTAAAAAATAAGTATTAATAAAATAGCGTGAGCAAAAATATGAGTCTTTTTCTATTTTACCATATCTAGACTGCGATTTAGGGAAAAGAAAAAAGGAAACGAGCTTCATTCTTTTATTTGCTTTTCTAACAAGGACAAATAACTGCTCTATGCAGCTGGTTCTTTTCTTTTCCCTTTTGTGCTCTAAAAATACTATGTTATTTCAACTATTTCTTCGAATGTCGGACTTTGGACTATGTAAATCCGTATGCTGTCCGTACTTTATCAACTTTCTGAAGATTGCGTACAAGCTGGATTGCAAAATTCATTTTAATATGTTAGAGACGAAATTTGAAAACTCTACCTTTAATACATTAGCTATTTAAAGAATTAGTCCCAGTTTCTGAATAACGTTTAGTGTCAATAACGTAAATTAAATAAACTTTTGTTTTATTTGGTATAATTTAATATAATAATTTCGTACATAAACTTCTTCAAGTACGAAAACGTCAGCAGGGTTTCTTTATACGAAAAGATGTATTGTAGAATCCATTACAATACATCTTTTCGTATAAAGTATGAGTTATGCCGTACGTGTGTATCTCGCATAACTCAAAAACCATGAGGCGTAGAACGTTGAAATATTGAATATTGGACTACTATAGCAGGTAGTTGTGCGCCTCCCTTTTTTTTTGTTCTTTGTTACAATCAGCCGTACTAAATGTATATAAACGTATGTGTATCTCCTTGTCTCTCTCTATTTCTCTCTCTATATATATATAAATATATATAGCTCTTCTTTAACTCTGCTTGATAAGCTCTGTGTTTTATTCTTATATGCTGGTAAATTATGTACCTTTTGCTTTAAAAGTGATTGAGTCATGCTGTCTATGTTCCGGTTTTTTAGGCCTTCGAGTAATCTGTAAGCAACAACTGTAGAATTATCAACAGTTTAAAAGTTTAATTAGAGCTAGGCCTAATGAGGCCGCCATATTTTTACTTTTGAAACCCTTAGTAGAATAGTAAATCAAGTCAGATGGTGCATCAATTCCCTTGTCTTTTTGCCCAGTGGCGAAAAAATTAGTTTTATGCACCAAAAATTTTGCTTTCCTGTCCATTGGCCGAATGGCTTGTCATTGCGTATATACTCTAATTTTAATTGTAAATATTTTAAACTGTTTTTAGCTGTATTTAGTGTTTTAGGGTTTTCTGTTTTTTTCAATTATTTATGTGCGAAGTGAGCAAAAATAAGTTTAAATGAAGTGCAGCAAAAATGTATATATAATTTAATAGATCGTGGAAGGAAGTCATGTGATATCCATATCAGATATTTATTATTATGTGTAAATCCTTGCATATAATGTACAAAATTTTCTCTTAGTAGCATATAATTTTGCACCTAACATTATAATATTCCGAATTCATAAATATTTAGCACTTCTGATTTTTGCTCTTAAAACAGTGTATTTTGTTTTATCGGATATTTTTTCAAATATTTGCTGTTTTCCATTCATAAATCAGAAATCTTCAGATCAGATCAGTTATGTTAATCTGCGGTGGTATACTGTGTAAGTTTAATACAGTAGCGGACTCATCTTTTCTACAGCCGTTGTTGGTATGGTGAACAGCAGTGCCAGCCCGAGTTTATATCCCACAGAAGGGGCATTGCTTGCAAAACTATAATATCTTTAAGTCCTCTTAAGACATAGGTGGAAAGGGAAGAAGAATGGATCCGTATCATATTGATGGCGCTCCACCAGAACTGGAATGGAGCTATATACACTCGTATATTGTTACTCAGAGTCATACTTGCATATTTTTTCACCTGAACAAAGATGTATGCATATCAGTGGTGCATGGTGTTGGTCCTATGCTATCTTATTAGTCTAGAAGCGCCATAAATCCAGTTACTGTTAAGATTTGTTCATAGAGACGTTTCCTGACAGGGCCCCCTGATGGTCGACACATTGATTGTCTTTCATGGAGAGCGATGTCGCTAGTGATAATTTAAGCATCCAAAACAGAGACGCTCTAGCAACTTATAAGCACTTAAAGCCGTAGAGGAAATTGGAATTATTTAAAATGTTTAATCAATATTTTTATCTCTACATATAATAAAAGAAAGAGTTTGTCTGTGTGTGTGACTGTGTGTCTTTCGTTCGCGCTGCGCGTAAGCTAACAGACCCACGGCTACGAAATTTGGTACATAGATGCATCTAGACAAGAGCCAGTGCACGTTCAGGCGATTTTTTCGAAATTCGAATTAGCATTTTTTTATTTTATGTTTTGTGACGAAATCGTGTCATTTTGAGACATAATGGGCTGTAGGAAAGCGAGATTTTACTCTACACACTCCATTTTCACATCGTCGTGAAACGTAGGCGAGCTATTTTACGAACTTAAAATAAATTTCGTGCTTCAATAAATCTATTAATTACGAATTTATTTAACAAAGGGAGCTTAACACCTTTTCAACGGAATTTTTTCTAAAAAAGTTTATTTTTAAAAATGTACAATTTATTTTTCTTTGATTTTTGGACACGTTAAACTTTCATCTTTGCTACTGCTTTTACAAAAAGAATTTTGGAAAAATGATAATATTTTGTATTTAAAAAAATTTTTTAAATGAAGCTTCCGACTATAGTTTTCACATCTCACATCTTTAAAAATGTGATTTTGGCAACAATTTTCCTGTCTTATTGTTGTTGATAGATTTTTGATGAAATCGCATCATTTTGAATAGTTTCATTCTTTTAGAAATATGGGTTTGGCAAAAATTTTTCATCGTATTTCTTATGTCACTGTTTTTAAGAGATTGGCGTATTTCATTGTTATTTATATATATATATGACACATTTTTATTGATTTTTTTGATAAAGGTGTTCTACAGAGTATAATTCTGCGCGGAATTTTATGTTTTTTGAGTTGCTTTCATGTTATTTTTTGCTTATTTCACTGTTTGTAAGATATTGAAAAGTTTTGCATAATTTATTTTATAATAATGTTGGTTAATTTTTTAATTAAGAGAATTAATATTTGTATTAAGGGATATAGCTTATTTCATTGTAATTTTTATTCTTGAAAATATAAGATAAAATATCGCTAATTATACTTTGCTTTTCAGAATGTTTTTTTTTTTTTTTTTTTTTTTTTAAATATTCTTTTTATGTTATTTATTGCTCCTTTCATTGTTTTTAAGCTATTGAAAGGTTTTGAATGATTTTTTTAGGAAACAAAGTTCTTAACCTCCTTTATACCATTTGAGTTCTTAAGATTTTGCAAAGGGAAGTTGGTTAATTTATTTATTAGGATAATTAATATTTGTATTAAGGGATATTGCTTACTTCATTGTAATTTTGTTATACGTAATAACTTTTTTATGACGTTGTTCTGCAGAGTAAAATTCTACGCAGTTTTTAAATTTAACGTTTGGTGTTCCCTTCAGCCTCATTTAAAAGCCAGACGAAGGCTGGCAGTGAAACTGTTAGTTTTGATAAAGCAAAATCATGAGCTGTTTCACAACTTACATTTTTGTGTCATGGTTTGAAACCTTTCAGTATATTTTGTTTTGGTAACTCAAAATATAATAACTTTGAAATATTTTTTATTTCGCTATTTAAAATTATGATTTCATGTAATATTTCTAACTTAGATAAATGAATGAAATAAAAATTGTAGCACATCTAAAGAAAATATTTCTCTAATTTTTATTAATGCCTTTCTAATTCTGCATCACAGAAAAATAATATGATTCCATTCCCCTTTATGTAACATTTTTCTGATGCAAGTACAAGATAAAAGCTGAATTTCTTGACTTTAATAATTTTTAACATGTCGTTATTTATATATCCAACTAGTTTCTCATCATTAATATTAGAAGTAGCTTGTGTTTTGTACTCTTAAATATGTATTTCATGTATGCTTGCCTAATCCAAGCCGTTTGTTAAGCGCAATTAGCTTGAAACCTCTTCAAATTGAATTTTCGACACCTTTCTGCTCTCCTCAAATTTTGCTTAGCGTATTTCGATTAGAAAATGGAGGTCATCTTCCCTTTTCCTAATACAATTATTGAAACATTTTAATTTACATATAAATAATATTTTATTTCATTTTTGTTTCCAGTGGATTTATTTGATTTAGAAGAAGTTCGTAAAGGATGGAACACTGATGTTTTTAACAAACTGGAAGCCAAATTTCGACGAAAACTGCAGGTATTAAACTATTTGTTTGTTATTTAGCACATAAAAGTTGCCCTTTTTTTTAGTTTATGTATTGAAATGTTTAATATTACCTCCAAATTAAAGCGGATACCTTTTTTTCTTAGAAAACATTACATCCCCAGCTTTTGTCCATGCTCAAAGAAGAGAACTGTTTCTCGCTCATCATTGGACCTGCTCACTCAGTAGTTGATCTCATTGCTCCCAACGTCAACACGCGAGACGCTTGGGTGAGAGGACTGAACCAACTGATAGCCTGCTGTAAACATCTGCAAGCGGAGCATGATGAGGAAAGGTCATTGAGTTCAATATTTTAATTATCTTACTCATATTAAAATGGTAATAACCGAAATTGGTTCTGTTTTTGTTACTAATCCTCCCTATTTGTGCATAATTCAGTCTACGAATTCATCATGATCAAGAAGTAGAAAGTTTCACCTGAGATTGACCAAGGCCTCTAACGTTTTAGAGATGACAGTGCGAATGTTCCCACTTTCGTCCAGATCTGGGTGGAATGCACCCGAAGAATGGATAGGATCTCCTACAACTCCTTCCTTACCACCAAATTCTCAAGAAGCTTTTTAGTATTTTAAGCGCTACGTACAGCAAAGGCATCACGCATTTACAAATGTGCTTGCCTTCTTCTGGATTCGAAATGGGTCCAACGGTATGGCAGCCCCACTGCTGAACATATCAAGTTGAATCGCAAGATGTAAAAAGGTTTATGTGAGAAAAGTCAAATTTTACGAGACATACAAAAAACTATCCCATTCTCACAAGAGTGTCAGAAGTCAACAACAAAAAATTATGAGATCGATGTAACTAGAATTCATGCAATTCAGCGTTTTTCAAACCGTTTTCTGACATTTTAGTGAAGAATGTGGTAGTTTTTGGTTGCTGCCGTAAAATTTGACTAGCTAGCCCCTTCTTACATCTTGCGATTCAATTAGGTTGGCAGAAACCAATTTTAATACACTTATTGCAGACTTTATACTATGGTCTAGCATAGCGCACCGATACCAGACCATAGCTTTTGGGTACATAGTTATTTTTTCCGCGTTCGGGGCTCGATTTAAGCCTTTAAATATTATGTAAAACATAAGCATGTTATGTGCGGCATTTTATTTTTAATGGAAAAATACTAACTATTGCTGTTTCTAGATCCTGAAGCACAGTGATAGTTGTTTTTTACTAATTCTTATACTTGCTGTTTATCACATTCATAATTGCTAGATCCTCCAGAATGTTGTTGCGAGTGGCTAATTTAGAGACTTATTATTTCGAGTTCTTATATCTCCGCATGCTAATATATATATTTTTTTAGATTTCAGCCATTACAAATAAGTAGGATGTGCAACAAATATAACAAAAATAACAGGCCGAAGAACTAATATTTAAGCAATTTATAATAAGTGACTGGAATAGGCTTAACGTATGTGAATCCATAAGACTATATACGTTTCAGGATTAAATACAACCATTTTATTCATCTGCAGCAGTAAAATTAGCATAAAAGAAAGATTTCCCAGTAATTATTACAACAACTATGGGCTTTCTTTCCTATATTTCTCTTTCTGTTATTCTCTCGTGCGTGTTTTGTACTTTTTTGTCATTTTCATCCCTGTAGCTGAGAAAGAAGTTCTATTTAACCTTCGAAATATAGTCCTTAAAATTAACTCACATTGTGTCGATTCCTGTTGCGTTTTAATATTTGCCTTATTGAGAAGTTATTTCTTTAATTATTATTTATTTATTAAGAGTTTTTTCTTTTATTTCGAATTTGATTACATGAGTGGTTATTACTTAGTTAAAATTCCTCCATTCTGGCTCAAAAGCTGACAAAATAGACTTGATTATTTAGAAGCATTCCAGTTCATTTTTTGGACCACTTTTAACTGTAACTTAAATAAGCGTCAATCAGTTTTTCTTAAATCTGTCAAGAAGGTCTGCTTTTAAAAACATACGCATTTCCATATTGTTCCATAATAAGCCGAATAAAATCTGTAATTATTTTGCAAAATCCAGTCGCATTTTGAGACTGTATCTTGACGTACACTTTAAAATTATTACATTGTTTATTTTAATCACTTCCAAGTTTTTGTTTTAGTAGCCCTATTCCTCCCGCCTCAGTTTTATTTACAGTGAAATTCTAAAATAAGCCCCCCCCCCAAAAAAAAAATGGCCACATTGTTTTGTATTTAAAATAAATCAGAAATCAAGCATCTTGTTTGACCACGTTTCTACACAATTCTGTTCTGCGAAGAAATATTTTTTATTATTAACATTTATTTTTATTCAATATTTTATTTAATTTATAACATATTTTATTTCATTGCATTTTTAACTTTTGCATTTTGTCTAGTGATGTTTTCATGCATATAAAACGAGTTGAAAGGATATCCTGAATTCAAGGTTACCAAACCAGACCGAAGACTTAAAGGAATATAAAAGTTTGATACGTGTATAAGAATATCGGATCTTTAGAATTTCCTCACATTAGATAACAGAACTCCTTTTATAACTTATCATTCTTAAACTTCATAGAGTTTTTGCGCTAAAGCTTTTGTAAAGCGGTATAAACGGTAAATTCAAAAGAATGATGCATTGTTTGTTTACTAATGCATTATTTTATTTACATTTATTTATGCTGGATTTTATGTAAAATCAGTCTATTACCATTTGTATTAAAAAACGAAAAGGAGTCATATTTTATTTATATGCAACCTTCTCATTGTTTTGTCATGCAGATATCATATGTTCTGATAAATATTTGCGGCGGCATTTCAAACAAAATGATTTCATTGCTAAGCTAATGTGACAGCTAGTAATAAAACTATTTATTTAAGAGCGTATCACATGTTCTTACTGAATGCTTTAAACCAGCGGCTCTTAACCGGTGGTACGCGTACCACTGGTGGTACACAAGAGATAAATAGGTGGTACACAAAGAAGCAAAGTAATTTTAACTATTAAATTCTAAAATCTCTTAAAGAAGAAGAACAATTGATAGAAATTTCCTGTGATCGAACTCTAACTGAAGATTTGTAAATTGACACACTTGTTAACTTTTGGCTGAACCGAAAAAAAATTTTTAAGGCATTTCAAGTAAGGCTGTCAAATTTGTATTGCCTTTTTGCATAACCTGTTTTGTGAACAAGGATTTGTTATATTTGAAATATAAATGCAGACCAAAATTAAAAGTGGATACTAATTTAACGTTTCAGCTAAATGAAATAAGACCAGACGTAAAAAGAAATTGATCTCTCTTAAACAGGCCCAAATTTCACACTAAATTTTATAATTAAAGTCATAACTTAAATTTTGATAATTAAAATGGGGACCAATTTTTAGTCTAATATTTTTTACAATGCGCATATTTAATACAAAGAGCCAATAGGTTGCGCAAATGGCAATATATATACATTTTTTCCAATGTTTCTATTGAGAAATTGAAAAATAATCATTATAAAATGTAGTGATGGTACTAATGTTTTTCAGTTTTTTTGTTTAGATGGTAAGTGTTAGTCAAAAGGTTGAGAACGGCTGCTTTAAACCATAATGTTTAAAAATTCTTACAAGCAACTCTGCCGGAGAGTAACGCATATTGCACACATAAATACTGGGAAAGTTAATTGGGAAATTTTTGGATGGAAGATTAATATTTCAAAAAATTATGATTTATTCAAAAACATACTTGTCTATACTTATGCTTACTGTGAAAATAAAAGAAGTAAATTATAGTTTTAAGTTCCCTTATTACAGCATGTTTTAATGGTAAAAGCCAAGTTTTTCCTTTCATCATGTTTAAGCGTCACGTCATCTCATAAAGACCGTTAGGCATTTAATTAATTAAATGTAAAAATAATAGTAGCGTTAAATTAAAAAAACAGTATCCTCAACATGACTCAAACTCTGACTATAATAACTCTATCTCCAACAATAATTGAATATTGAAGGTATGTTTATTACTTCTTTTCCGGAATAATATTTGTGTTCCTTGAGATGAAATTTTAAAACTCTTTGAGTTTGGCCAATATATATCAGATAACACTGAGAGGATATGCTATAAATGTGCTCATTAATTAAAATCAGAGAAATAATCTTTAAAAACTGAACAAGTAATTTTACTTAAATGTTTTATTCAAATTTCAATAAATTACTCGATTTAATTTGTGACTTTCGTTAATCTAATTTCTGTTATGCTTCAAGTGATGTAAGAATTTTGTTTAAACTGAATGTAATCGAGATGAAAAACTGTTCGACAAAATCGCATTGTCTATAAAAGTAATCACTCTTATAATTACCTTAGCTAGATTCATTTCAAATATTTTAATATTCAGTTCCTTTCTGGCTGTCTTTATTTTATGTGAGAATAACAGGGAGATCTCTAGTTAGACAGTTTAGAAATGGAGGGAAAAGAATTCGGTCTCTGAAAAATTCAAAATGAACTTTAATTCTCTTGGAGTTCATAATAGTTTATAGTGAAAGAGATTAGTAGATTGCCAATGATTTAACCTTTTTTACATTTGATCTATGTATTTTCCTAAAAGTCGGTATATTTTCGTGACTATTTGTTTATCTATTCATTTAAAGCAAAATAAGCAGGCAATTGATAGTATGTTCACTCACGTTTCTGGTAATCTTAAAACCATACGAGAACTAAATGGAATTTACACTTTGAAAATTGGTTATCTATGCATCAGCATGTAGCAAAATCATTTTTGGTAATGTGCAAAAATGTGTTTTTCAAAGGCATAAAAATTGTAGCCTAAACAAAAATTTCTGAAAGTTCTGTTCATCATCATAAATAATTAAAATTATTTAGTATCAAACCCATTCTGTTTGTTATTAACTTGTGAGCTCTTTTGAAAGTTTAGCTTTTATAATAACATTACATCATAATTTCTAAATATTTTATATATTACTTGCATAAATTGAGTTTATTTACAAAGTATCATGAATAAATATACAGTAATTTTTAAATATATCAAATAAATAAAATTTATATAACATTTAAGTAGTTGCTTAAGTGGACGTCCCTAAATTCTTTCAACGTTTAAAATTTTTAACTTTAGGTGGTTGAAAGATCAAGTGAGAAAAGCCGACGTCAGTGGTAATGGCAGCCTTACTTTCGAAGAATGCCTTGGCTTACTCAATCAACTCAACATCAGCATGAGGAGAAAAGAAGCTAAGAAACTTTTTCATGTAAGTTACAAATAGCAGGAGCAGCATTTTCTGCTTTTACTTCTGCTACTCATGCGATGCTCCGAATATTAATGCATAATAATTTCTAATGTTAATGCTCCTAATATTAATTTCTGTTAATGTATAATAGTTTATTATATTTACTTGTTATCCGTATTTGAATCCTAGGTCATGTAACATTTGCATATAAATGTCTTTCCACTGAATATTCCTGTTCCACTGAAATCTTTAAAGTACAAAGTGTGGCATCTTTTATTGCAATTCTTTGATCATATAAGACACATAAGTTCCATTGATAATAAAAGGCTTAATATAGGGAGAATTATATTTCTGTATGTTTGCAACGCAAATTTCTAAAACACATATGTCAAGAATATTGTATTAAGAGTCACCGTATCAAATAGGCAATTCTCTTTAGAGTTGGCAACCTGAGATAGCAGACCAAAATTCGGAAACTAGAGTACATGTTACATATACAGGCGAATAAAGAATATCTAGCTAAAATGTAAATGCAGGTAGAAAGAATTAAAGTAAGCAAGTTATATAATAGCATGTTTTGTGAAGAAATGGTGCATTGAAGTGGTACAGAGCGTTGTAGAGCGAAGAATAAAAGTGTTCTCCCGCATAATAAGTCGTCATTCTCCGCGGATTTCAAGCAGTCTGTATTTTACAAGAATGCGGAGGTCGTTGATATGCATTACAGACAGCAGTGGCTGAAAGGGGAATTGTTATGTGTACAGCTTGCACAAAAAAGGGGGGATAGTTCGATATCTCCCGTACTACAAGTCCGATTGACGAAATTTAACTTGCTTTTTTCATATCCCGAAAACGTGACTTAGGATATATATTAGATTTTATATTTAGATTTTTTCTGACATAGGTATTTTAAGACATAATCGGACGTTTTTTTAACAAGTTATGATTTTTTTCCATATTTCGATTCTATGATTCAAATTATTCTCAGATATTAAGTTTTGCAAAATTGGGTGCGAAACTTTTCAAGAAATTTAAAAACTTTTGTTGGCGCACGTTTTTAGTTTGCGCCAAGAATAACTCATTTGGCGAAATTCTTAATTTATAGTAACCTATTTTCTTTTCCCTTTTTTTACCTTGCACGAGCGGTAAAAAGGTGCATTTTCCTTTCCTTTCTTTCGCTGTACACGAGCGGGAAATGATCATCGTTCATTACTTTCGAATAATTTTAGCAAAGTGCGTAAACCATATTTGGCGTTATTATCGCTTATAACAAATATTCCAAATTTCAAAACGCGCCAATATGTAAATTCACGTATATCTTTGGCAATTTTGAATAAAGAAATATATATAATTCTTTGCAGGTATGCTTAGAGATACATCTGCTTTAAGATGATGTTAAAAATTTTGTAGCTTATAATTCAAAAGTTTATTCGAAAAATTTATAAATATTATTTAAAAATACTGTAAGGTTATTTTAATTTTATTAACAGTTTTAATTTTGAGTTAAACTTCTTTCCTATCAAATCTTATTATGCCTTCCGGCCAGACGTAATTTTAGAATTACGTCTGAATACTTAATGAGGAGGAGCAGTATTTAAACCGCGAAGTTCTAGTACTTGCTGGGTTAGAGAGAATCAGAGTTTCTGATTTGCGCGCGTCTGCCTTTTGGCTACTCTCTCTTAAAGCTGTTATTACGCTCGGCCGTACTCATGCCCTTGATAAGCTTCGTAGTCAAATAGAGTTAAAGGACCAACTCGATTAGAATCCTGATAGCTTCGACTATATCTCTTTAGTTAATCTTAATTTTAGTTTATTTTTTAGTATCTTAAGTTCGAGTCCAAGTGTCGGCTTTTATTGTACACTCCAAGCCGGAGTGTACAATAAAAGTTAAATCTTTTTGGAATAATAAAGGGCTAGTTACCCTTCCATCTTGTTGTTTCTTCTCACACGAACTTAAGCTATTATTCGCTAACTAGGTCTTAAGATTACTCACTTTTGACTGCAAATACACAGTGGTAAACCTCACAATACAAATTTTAAAAATAAATCATAAAAAAGTGGGCGAATCTTATTTAGAATGAACCTTAATTTCAATATGTTCGCTGTTATGTAATATATACACTAGGTCGCGCTTTCGAGACATAAAAAACGCAAGTTAAATTTCGACTATCGTTCCAGTAGAACAAGAACTATAGAACTGTCTTTTTTTTTTTTTTTTTTTTTTTTTTTTTTTTCAAGGTGTACGTTAGTATATTTCGTATTAATTCGTATACACTACAGACAAAATATGTAAATAAACATCATCTAATAAATGTGACATAATAATGCAACACAATAACTTATAAAAGAAGGGTATGCAAAAATGGGCACATATAATAATAATATAAATATTAATAAAAATAATGCACATAATAACATAACATAATAATATTTTATTTACCAGTGGGGGGCGCTAGCCATGTTAGGCGTTAACCGCTACTAAGGTCAGAAGCGGTGATCACTTTATTATGCAGGCACCTAATAGGTGAGCCACCATTGTCTCCTATAAAGGGGCAGACAATTTATATCCATGCTTTCTCCGGGCTTCGAATCCGGGCTCTGTGTCACTAACCACTTTCCCGTCTGGGTGGCAAACGTAATAATATAATTTGTAAAGCGAATCAATATGCATGCAAAATATTTCACACAAAATAACAGTACACATAATAATGTGTAATAATGTAAATAACATTATACAAATAAGAATAAGAAAATTATGCCTACAATACACATTATAACATAATAATATACATAGTAACATATAAAATAACATGCAGAATAATGTATAGGATAGGCGTGCAATTTGTATTATGAGCAGAAACAAATTTTACCACTAATTTTACACTTTAGAAAAGTGTTAGAAATATTAAACTATAAATTCTGATGTGTACACCCCATAACTTCTTTGTACGGAATATTAAATTACACGCATTTTTTCCTGCATTTCATTTAAACTTATTTGAATTGAATTAAATCTTTTGCGTCCATAGCGCATAAACCATAATAGAATAAATGCATTCTTTAAAATTCACTATATTTATTTACCATAGAGACACTCTGGAGCTAGATTTACTTAACGGCGTTACATCTCATTCATTTTATAACTCACAATGTACAAAAATTATATCATCTACAGAATTATCGAATCATTGCCACACGTTCTATTGAAATACTAACAAATCTAAAATGTTATATAAACGAAATTAAACAAATAAAAAAGAAACAGTTTTTCACAGACGATTACCTAATGCGCATGCGCTACTCGTAAACATTCTCCTCTGTCCGAGACAGACTGGCGACGCAGTATTTGCTGGTAATAAATACTAAACACCCATTTCCTCGAATTTCATTAGAGATAGATCGATTTCTCATTCAATTAATTCAGTTTTCACTTCGCGGCAAAGCAAAAATACATAAAAACTCAAAATATCTTCATTAAAAATTGAAAGATATACAAAAACATAAAACACTAAATACAGTTAAAACAATTAAAGAAGCAATTTCTAAAATTAAAATGTGAGTTTCTGCTCAAAAAGAAGCAATTCGGCCAGTAGGCAAGAAGATAAATTTTTTGGTACACAAAACTAAATGTTTCCTTTTGGTCCCATTCGACAAAAAGACCAGGAAGTTGCAGAAAGACATTCCGCTAAGTTTCAAACATAAACAAATATGGTTTCTATGGTAAGAAAAATTAGGTTTAGCCGCACTTAAACAACTTAATGTTTATACTTTAATAAATTGTTGATAATTCTCCAACTATCGCATGCAGATTAACTAAAGGCATAAAAATCTTAACCAGATGAGAAGAACAACATAATTGAATCATTTTTAAAGCAAAAAATGCACAGTTTATCAATATATAAGAATAAAAAACCTGAGCTCATGGAGCTGAGTCAAAGAGTGGATGTATATGTATTCTTCTGGTGCGGTCGATTGCCACCAAAAAGAGAGGTTCGCATCTGCATGTTATAACAGTCTTATATACAAAATTTCAACGTTCTAAGGCTACTCGTTTTTTGAGTTATGCGAGATATATACATACGTACAGACGGCCACGAAAAAATTCCTTCTGAATCCATTTTAAATCAGTTTTATAATTCGTTTGGTGAAAAGGAGTCCTTTATTCTGTCCTAGCGTACAAATGTCACGCAAAACATCGTTAAATTGCATTCGATAGCTGTCAAAATGGATATTTTCGTTGAAATATGATACCCGGAATTTTTTAGGATTACAATACTTCCTTTACTTCGTAGAAGGAAGTAAAAACACGAACATTATTTTTTCGTTCTTATAAATGTAGAAATTGATGGCTTGAAAAAACCTGCATAAACTTTCTCACCAATTAAAAAAATTCATAAGATGAAATAATTCCCTAAATAATAAAAATATTCCCTCGAAAACTAGAGACTGTCTTAAACAGTACAAAAAGGCTTTACCTCAGTAATAAGTTCATATTTCCTTATTTGAAGAATATTTAGAAAATTGCATTGATAATTCATTTTTGACATTTAGATTCGGAAGTTTAAACAATAATGCCACGTTTTATTATTTCACGAAAATATATTTGACATATAAAAATTAGATGGTTTTCCAGCTTTTTAACATATAATTGTAATTATAACATTTTTTAACATACAATATACACTAAATTATTCTAACTAAATTATTTACGCCATTTACAGTGACTTTACAAGGCGAGAAGTATGGGTCTAACACCAATAGTTCAAAAGTTAGTCAATATTTCCGAAGCATCCTGTATAAAATTTGAACTGCTTGTGCTTCTCTCTATCTGTTTTTATACCATTGTCTGTTTTTGTTGAACGAAATTTTTATTTACAAAATGAAAGATTATATATTTGATGATCTATAAATTTCTTTTTTCTTTGATAAAGACAGCTAACTTCAGGAAGAATAAAATCGATGGCGAAGACGCTCTAGATCCGGAAGAATTTGTTATTTTTTATCGAAGCTTAACTCACAGGCCGGAACTGGAAGAATTAATGAAGAAGTACGTTAAAATACTCATAAGTAAATTTTTATTTCCTAAAAAAAGTATTTTGAAAACATTTGCAAGAAACTTTGTCATGCTTAAATACGCACTGCCATGCAAAACAAGTAAGATAACAAAAAACTTCTAATGAAAATCATGCAAAAGATTTCATTAATATGACATACCGACACGTTGAACTTGGAAAATTTATTATCATAATGGCGAGAGACCTCACTTTCATAACGGCTTTCCAAACCATAAACCCGCAAAACTTCAAGTTAGTAGGCCCTCCAGTCTACAACTTCCTAATGCAAATGCTTAAAGTGTTCTCAAAGTACTGATTATGTTACTCAACGTTACTTTATGTTGTTATAACCATTACACAATATGCTCGGACATATATTTCTTATAGTTAGGTAACATAAACTTTGTAATGAATTTCGATATTTCAATGTGTGCATTATTCACAGCAAGGCACACATCTGTCCAAAGTCAAAGCTTTACGCCTGCTTTGATGTAGGAATTCTTTAACTAGATAAGATTCTGAATCTTTTTACAATAAAACAATGTTTTCGTATGACACTGAAACAAGAGATACAGTAGTATAAAATCTGGGCTGCTTGGAAAAAACACATTCCAGTGATTTCGTCCCAACCACTACCGAAGGAACACAGTATTGAAATATAATATAGCCCATCCTACCTGATCACTGATAAGTTCTGGGAATCTTGGTCTATGTGCATTATGATTGATCACAGCATGAAATCCTGCTATTACTTACCTTAAAGACTTTTAACTGAATGCTGATATTTAAATCCGAAAACACATGTCACAGTATTAAAATTTGCTTTCTGGGGAAGGAGGATTGGGAAATATGGGATAACATGTAAAAGCATTTATTGGAAAACCGTTATTTATTTTTTCTTGTTGTGTTTAACATTGTGCAGTATTATGTTTATTAAAAAAATACGTTTCGTGCATATGAAATCTACACGAAAGTATAATAAATGTTTATTTACTGTGTTTGGTTACTTTTAGCAGTAATTCTCTTTTTTCAGATATTCTGTCAGTCGGTCAGTCTTATGGGGTGCCGAAGAACTGAGAAATTTTTTATATGAAGAGCAGAATGTAGGTGCCTTTTCATTTATTATCTTCAAAAATTGTATATTTTATTTTGACCCTATATTTAAATTTATAATAGTAATTATTATCTTTTAGTGTTCTGTTTTGTGGGGTTTATTTTACAGTTTGATGGTTTAACAGCCACTAACGCCTATTACTCTTCCAATATTAAAGCTTATTTTAGCTAAATAAGACCACTGAGTACTGTAACCAACCCGTATTCTTATCTTGGCAAACCTGCTGGATGCATGAGCGTGTTCATGGTCTTCCCATGTGTAATGTGAATTCCTAATTTCTCTCAGAAACTCTTTCTCAAAGCCATCCGTTCCTTTAAGTTACCTCTAATTCACTTTATAAAAATCTAATAAATCCAAACGCTTTTCTTCCATCAGGCTTCACCAGAATGCAAATTAGATATTTCATCGGTTTTTAAGACAATGAAAAATTGTTATGAGTAAATAGCGAAATGTTTATACTTTAAAAAAGGAGTACTTTTTTAACTACACAGTATCCAATGTTATTAGCCTGAAGCAACAAAACTTCGTTTATGAAGGCCTGCTTACTAGATGTATGATTTTTGTATTTGTTTGAGCAGAAGTCTAGAATCCAGATTTGCTGAAGCCGAGTTATTTAATAGTTGAAAGTTAACTTGTGTTTTAGATAGTTTTTTTAATCTGAGTTACTGAAATCCCTTCAATAGTGGTGGATGATTTTTGCTAATTTTAGTTGTGTGACAAGACATAGATTTTAATAAACTTTTAGTTACCTTTTATTTCTGGTCTGTGTTATTACAACTTAATTCGTGAAGACGATTAAGTTGTAATAACACAAAAAGCAAGCTGAGCGAATCAACGGCGGGATAAAGGTTGCCAGATTTGGCTTGAAATCGCCCATTTGGCAACAGAATGGTCGATATTTCATAGACGGAGCGAGGACAATCTAGAACGCATTTTTAGCGCTTTTTCTCTAGAATGTTCTCGAAGGTAGGTTAAAGCTATATATACCCTGACTGTACGGAGAAAAGGTAGTGTCTTGAGTCCAGAAATCAGCTTGAGAGCGATCGACCGAGTCGGGAGCTGTACTTTAGTGCTTTGCCGTTAAGCTATCTTCACCGTTATAACCTGCAAGTTGTTATGCTGATTGTTCCAGCGTATTTATCTTAGCTTTTCGACGAGTGTAAATTGTCTTTGGAACTACCGTGTGTAATTGTGCTTACAGGTGAATCAATTGTGTTTTGATCCTTTATCAAGTCTTATCATTATTTACTCCAAATCCAGGAACCCGTCGAAAGCAACAATATTATCATTCGGTTTAATATTTTAAAAATTCTCAAGAACAAACACAGTCACATTGAGCGGCGGCGCCTGGCGTAAAATAATAGTAAAGGAAAGGAAAGTTAAACTGATTTATGTTATGCTGAAAGATTTCAAAATCTGTGAGCACTGGTAATTTACCCAGCCGATTTATGCTACAGCAGAGAAACATTTCTGTAACTGACGAACATAAAGTGAAAAGTCTGGAAAATTCGCGAAATTGATACGTAGAAATATTTCTCAGTAGAAATGCATAGATATTATCTTTAATTTTCATCTATTTTTTTACAATCGCCTTTCAAAATATCTAAATGTTTAATTAGCAAATGTTTGAAAAATTATTTTTTATAGTGTAAATATACACAACTCATGCCTTGCTGTTTCAAATTCGAGTTTGAGAAAGCTAAGAAAGTTAAACTGCAAGGTATTTGCTTCCTCCTTAACGCGTGCTTTCTTGCTGTAGTTGGAAAAACGTCTTTCTAGCAATCTCGAGTCCTGAGTTCGAATACCAGCTTTCATTTTTCTTCCTTCGACAAACCTATTGACTTTGCAAGTGATTCCCGAATGTTGGTGGCGACAATTCGTCAACTTCTGATTTAACTACTGAGTCTCCGCCTTCCCAGTCACCCTTTAAGTATGTCTTTGGGGTAGGAGTTCTTCCTTACCGCATATACCTTCGCGATGTAACTGGAGGCACGGCCGGCTAGCAGTTGGAAAACTGGTGATCGAATTCCAGCATTCCCATTTTTTGTGTTCGTGCTTTGACAAATCTAATGACTATACGATATAGAATTCCGTTTTTTATCTTTGGGATAATTGTAATAAAAAAGCAAAAATTTCAAAAATAAAGCTTAAAATGTATCTTAAAAAATTCAGTTTAATGTAGTTCCCAAATTCAAATCAGCTGCATTTTTAGTAATGCTTTTTCTTTAGGTTTCACTGTCCATTCAAGAATGTGAATCATTAATAGATGAATACGAACCAGAAACTAATAAAATTTCTGGTTACCTGTCGTTGGAAGGTAAGTTAAAACTTTATTACATAAGTACTATAAACTCTAACATTTGTTCTGACTGTGAGTAATCCACTAAACTTACTTAGAAATACACTGGTGTGCAAAAATTATGGACGAAGTGGAAAAATTAGCATATCAGCTCAACGAAGAGGCAGAGACGACAGAAAGACCAATCAGGAGATTAAGTAAGGTGATGTACGGTAGCACATGCGCATATATGCAGGTAGACGTAATGGGGCAGTGTGTGAGCAGTATAAAGCATGTTGTCGGTGTAAGATCAGTGTTTCTAGCAAAGAGATTGCACGCCGTATAGCAGTTAAATTCACACCGAGTTGCTGCCTCAGCGAGAAATGGCGAATAATCAATCTGTTAGACGACATCTGGATGCTTTTATCCGAGGTCGAATCATTGGGAAGTTGGAGGAAGGCCGCAGTGTGACAAGTGTGGCTGCAGAGTTCGGAATTGCTCACGGCATCGTTTCACGACTTTGGAGACAATTTCAAACTACAGGAACAGCTATCCGGGGGGTTTAGTAGTGGTCGTCCACGAGGAACCACACCCGCAGATGACCGGTATATTGCCTTACAGGCCAGAAGAAACAGGCGGCAGACAGCGGGAGAAATCGCTAGACACACGACACAGGCGACTGGACGATCGATATCGCGTTTTACCGTGGCCAGAAGACTGCACGGTGGTGGTCTGTTTGCACGACGCCCTGTACGGTGTGTACCTCTAACGCCTGCCCATCGGAGAAGGCTTTCTCTGTAGTGCCGGGAACACCGGAATTGGAGAGACAATGAATGGGGACGAGTACTCTTTACAGATGAGAGCAGATTCAGTCTGAGTAGCGATTCTCATCGCATTCTCATCTGGAGAGAGCGGGGAAGCCACAATCATCCCTCGTACATCATTGAAAGGGACAGGTATGGAGGTGGCGGTGTTCTCGTTTGGGAAGGCATCATGCTTGGTAGTCGTACAGACCTTCACATCTTCGACGCAGGTTCAATCAACGGGACCCGTTATTGTAACGAGATTCTTCTTCCATATGTGCGTCTTTTTAGAGGCGCTATGGGTCCGCAGTTCCTTTTCATGGACGACAATGCACCATGTCATCGCACAGTAGCTGCCGAACAGCTCTTAGAGAGTGAGGATATTGAACGTATGGATTGGCCGGCACGATCTCCGGATCTCAATCCCATCGAGCATGTATGGGATTTTCTAGGCAGACGCTTGGCAGCTCGTACCTTACCACCAGTAACGATTCCGGAGCTTCGATTGGCGCTGCAAGACGAATGGGCAGCAATGCCTCAACAACTCATTGACACCCTCATTCTCAGCATGGGCAGACGCTGTGAAACCTGCCTAGCAGTCAGGGGAGATCATATCCCCTATTAAAGACCGGATGTTTCTTGCTGGACACCCATCACAAGGATGTTTCGGCCTTCAGTCGCATTGCGCTCCATGCTACTTTTTCAATAAAGCTTCTTTTTTATCCCTCTGATTTCTCTTTTAGTAAGTGTTGCTTACATTACTCATGTCCTTACGTATTGGGGATCTTACGGTTTAAATGTGTTGATTTGGAAAGCTTTTGTACAAAGTTATATTGAAAAAACCGTCTCATCCTTAATTTTTGCACACCAGTGTATATAATGGTTTAATAGATTGTGTTTTATTGTTACTGGAAACATAGGGTCAAATTAAAAAAAACAAGGGAAGAAATAACAAATGTTAAAATTATGTTTTATTTTTTATTTAATTTTTTCTAGTGTAATTTATTTACTTAATTTATGGTTGCATACGAATGACAGCTGAAAAAGTCTAAAAATTATAGATCATGAATCTGTACCACACAGGACTTTTTATAATAATTATTTCAATTAATTTATTAATTATACTCGTATGTTCTGTATGTAACATATATAGAATACCTTTTGCGTTATTTTGATACTATTTTCCTTTATGTATCACTAGGTCAATCTGCAATAAATAATTAAAAATTTCTACTACTTCTTGGCATTAAGAATAATTAAAAATTTGGGTGAATTTTTGATAAAATTTTGGCAATTATTTTTTTTTTTTCTTCAATCAACATACTGTTCTGCATTTCTGTAAACATTACAGTAATTGCGTTCCTTTTTAAATTGACAATTGTGTTTTTTTTTTTTTTTACTTTAATGTATTTTGCTGTTATGAACAGAAGCAATTCATTTAAATTTAGTACGTAAGGACGATATTTTGTTAGTAGCATTGTATAACGAAATTTTACTATATTGTATAATTATAAATAGATTAGCAATAATTTATTAGTGAATTACATAATTACATTAAATGGCACATGTTAGGTTAATATTAATTGTGATATTATTTTATTAATTGTTTGAAATAAATAAAAAGATATGAATAAAAAAGGTCGATATTAGTAAGAATTTGTAAGCTTAGTACTGGAGTGCTAAAACTATTCTTATTTGTATTCGATAATGTTATAGAAGATACTAATTCAAAAATTCTTTCAGTAATTAAATATAATTCGTTAAATTTGAATGAAAGTTATGAAGGATTGTTTTATTTTACCATATCTTTGTAAAACTATGGCTAGTTTAAGATTATTGTGAAAGGTCTAAATATTTCATTATCTGTATTAACAATATGAAGAGGGCCTCGGAACAACTGATAAATTTTAGTGATTTTAAAGATACCTTTTTTAAATAGCTTCCATGTAAAGGAAACAACACTAACTATTTTTGCTTTCTTGAACGAAGAAAAAGAAGTATTGTAACCGGAAAACGATATAAAACAAGTCAGTTATTTTTGTTTAATTTGATCAATACTAAATACGTACTACAAGACAACACATTATTAAATACTAATTTTTAATTCAGGAAGAAGGCTCTTCGTCCTTCATTTTTGTCTGCTACTTGATTTACTTGCCATATTTATTTGGATGAAGATAAATAATCATACGTGAAGCATTAAAAATTCTGTGCAGTCGTAGCGCTGCATAGAAAACTGATGTCTCATTAATTTTGTAATTTCAATATAAACATGAAAACTTTCAGTATGCAAAATATTAAAGGGCTATTTGAGTGAAAAACATTTTTAGCAAAATTTTAGTCTTCTTTCTTTGGCTCCCACGAATTGTGTCATACTTAGAGTGTTATTCTACCTATTATGACGAATTAAATGAGCCGCTAAAATTGTTACGTGATAAATATGGCTTCCATGTTTTAAATTTAAGGAGCAAATTGGCGAACAGATAACATACATGGAAGTATATAAAATATTTCTTTAAAAGTAAGTCGTGAAAGTTGTCAAGAATTAATAGGTAAACTGAAAATAATCAGTTTAATAATAATAAATTGGGTTTTATTATGAGCCTTGTCTTTGTCTTCCTAACTTTTTCCTTTTTCCGCTGGTATTTTGATAATCTGAAAATGTGATTTATTACGTTGCAAGAATAAACTGTAATCATGATTATCATTAAATTACAGAATGTTCATAAAATGGATTTTACGCCTCAGATCTATGAAACGTCTATAAATATTCTTTATCACATTATTAGGATTCAAGCTTTCTTTGGGCTTTTACTCAAGCATTTTCATGTTGGGTACCGATATGGCTTCTGCGGCCGACTTGCACAAATTTGACCACTGTTCGAAAACTCAGAATCATGCTTAACTATCTGCACCTTTATGACGAGTCAAGTGCTATGAGGCGTCCAGTTATGAAAACTTTTGGAACTGAATTCTTTTGATCCAGCTGACATAATAATTCAATCTAACATAAACAATAAGCTACTTTTTGCTTATTTCTTCCAGTATATTTTTATATTAATTTGAGATAGAAATATTGTATATTATACAATTAAATATTTTTTAGGATTTCAGAAATTAATGACTGTAGATCAAGACATCTTTAACAAGAGGCATCGTATCATATATCAAGATATGACTCAACCCCTAACACGCTATTATATAGCTTCATCTCACAACACGTAAGTGTATTTCATATGTACGTCTATAGAAAAGAAATATAATTTTATGAAGCATATATTTTAGGTCATGAATTATCATCATACATGAATTGTATGCAGGGAATTGTAATATTTATATTACTGAAAATATTTGTAGAGAATTAAATGTGTCCACTTACTGTCTAATTGCATAAACGAGCTAAGTCAAAATTAATCCATAAAACCATACTGAAATGCAAAAAGTAATTTAAAATGTAAGAGCCCAGATTTGCAATTTTAAATTATGCTAAATTAAATCAAACTCGTGGCTTTTAAAACTATGAAATTAATTTCAAAATTGTTTTATAAGAATATCTCAGATGAAATGGATGAAGAAGGTAAAACAGTCTAGTGAAAGAACAGAAAGAAATCAACGTCAACGGACCACGGAATTATTGTTGTGCTACAAGTTGGCAATTGCTTTTATTCATCTATGTAATTTGCTTGTCCTTGAAGTTTCAGTTTCAAATCTAAAAAAAAAAAATAAATAAAAATAAAATAAAAAAAAAATCTGAAATGTTTCAGATTTTAAATTACGTCCAAAGGGGCGTTTTTTAACATTTTGTGTGTTACCTTTCTTTATTAAATATCATGTTCCTCGCACTTAAACTATAAGATCCAGTGCAACAGCAATATCGCAAAATAGTTTTAAAACGAGCATATCTTTAGAATTTCCGATACAGAGACTCACGCGCTGGAGATAAAAATATTTTTTCTGCACAACGTTGCCATTGCTCGCTTTGAAATCCTTGAGTTTGTTAATCAAAAAATTCGTCAAAGTTTTAAAAAATAGGAAATCGATCATAAAACAAATTTCAAATTTCAAATTTGGTCTTCCACATGCTCATATTCGTTGGAGGATTACGTTATTCAAAATTCGATGACTCTATGTACCGTTGTTTTATCACAATACGAGAAATATACATACATTTATGCAGATTTTTCATTATTTAATTTCTTCAAATATAATGCAGGACTCTAACATTTTGTGGCGACAGTTTGAAAAGTGAACCGACATTTATGAGTCCGACGCAAAATGCCAAAACGAAACTAATAGTCCTTCGGGATTCAAATCCCTTTGGACAAAAAAAAAAAAAAAAAAACGCTGTGCTCAGGGTCCAAGAGAAGGTAATGCAAAACATTTACTGTAGTTGTTTTCTTTTGGCTGTTTGGAGAATACAAAATAGAGAGGAGGGTTACTGCCAACTTGCATTATGAAATACAGATTTGAATTTTTAAAATACGCTTCAGTAAGCACTTTAAAATTGTATAAGTGGATTACTATTGATATAACTTTCAAACTTCTTCTCTGCAATACGCTATGTATTTCAAATATCGGTGTACTTCGATACTTGACGACAGTCGGCTATACATCGCCAGCAATACAACCTCTGCGAATATTCGGCAATCCTAGAAATTGTTCCGAAGATAATTCCGCACTTTCCTAGTATGCGATTTTTTCTTCTTCTTCATCTTTCCCTGCCGCCTTATCAGTGGATTTGTTTTAGCTAAGGAAAAGTGGAAATGGCTTCGTTTTTCATTTCACCGTCGACTTTAGTTATTGCAAGCGCATGTAGGCATATTTTGGTAACCCTTTCCTTTCGGAATGTTCTTAGGATATCGACTGTTGCATAATGTGTTTATTAAATTAGCAGAGAAATGAATTTGAAACAATGCATTATTTCGAGGTAAACGGTTATTTGGGAGGAAAGTACAAGTATTCCATTTTTATGCAGTGGAAACTGTACAAATCGGAATTACGATGAAAACGTAACGTTAACAATTGCCGACGAGACTATTAGAATAACAATTGGAAACTTGTTCCAGGGAAATAACTTGCCATCTTACTTAGCAGAATTCAAATGGAAACAGAACAAGCGTCGGAGAATAGTAATATGTTTGATGCGATTTTGAATATTATTGCCAAACAACACCGGCTGAAAATTAAGAAACCTGTTTATCCTATTTGCTGACGTCAAAAATACACTTCATTCCTAAAAGACTCTAATTGGTTGTTGACGATCTAACGGCGAGTGCTGGTTAATTCTCAAGTAATCAGATATCTTGTTCTTACACAAACATTCTGTTTAAGGCAGATTATTTAAAACTACGATTTCCTGTCATGCGACCTTTCTGTACATGGTTTCATATGTTTAACATGATAAAATAAAAGTGAATTTTTATTTATTGTATTATGTTTTCATACAGAGCTTTTTCAAAAATTTATTTTATTTCTTTTCTTACATAGATACCTCACCCAGGGGCAGCTGTATGGTGAAAGCAGTATTGAAGGGTACATTCAAGCACTAATGCGAGGTTGTAGGTGCCTTGAGAGTAAGTATATGGATTATTAGTAGGATTTTTGTGTAATATATTGTTGTGGATTGGTTTATGCTACCTGCTAAATTAAAATTAATTGATAATAATGGAAAAATTTGAGAATGGTTGCCAGTTCAGATTTCAAAAACAAATATTTGCTGTAGTTTATTAAAAAAGCTATCTGACTAAAGGAAGGGATGCCTTCACGGAGAGAAGGGAACTGCCGTATATTCATGTTACAAATGGGGAAAACCATGAAAACGAACCATCGTCAGCCTGAGTTCGATTCCAAGTCGAACTTCCAGTATTCAGTGATCTTACACACTTGTGATGCCTAAATATTTAATTCAAATCACATCTCTAAATAACAGCAGGAAATTTCATATAATAAGAGGATTAAGAAAGAAGAGATGATTGTTTTCCAAAGATAAATTTTACAAAAAAGCTGCTGTTTACGGATAAAACTAAAATCATACGCCATTATTGAAAACGGCATAGAGTTGAAATTCGATTATTCATCACTCATTTTACTATAAGTTTTATTATCCATCAGTTAATGAGAGAGCTTAAGGGATAGAATGAATATGGTAGAGAATAAAAAATAAAAATATATTTATATAAAACTCTAATTTAAAATGTGCCATAAAATAGGACTTGTCTTCCTTCGTGTTTAGATCCATAGTGTTAAAATGTTTTTTTTATAGAATTCAGTTTTGTACTTCCAAATAAACCTGCAAAATAAATAAAAATATTTGCGTTAAAATAATTCTGTGCAAGTTCATTTCATTACTCCACGTATGATATACCAACCAGCGGCCGAGAGGTAATGTCACTGAACACTAGTAATTCGACGTGGTTCGATTCCAGACAGACGGGCTGGGTGCATGTGCATTGGCGTTTTCGCGATTTTCCTGATGCGTAACATGGATACGAGCGAGTTTCCCTTAGAAAGTGCTCCACGAAGCCATCTCTCCCTTTAGGCAGATAGCTCTCGCGAGCTTTGCCGTAGTCAAATAAGCTAAATCTATGTATGATACATTAAACAACACTCGCAACTTCAGCAATTTTAGCAACATTGGCAATTTTAGTTGACTATTTTAGCAGTTTTAGCAACATTGGCAATTTTAACTGATTTAAGCAAAATGTCCAACTTTTATTTCATATTCATTATCCGAGGAAATAAAGTGCAGAAGGACGTTATAAAATAAGACCTCTTATCTGTATAAAAGGAAGCTGTTGACACATTCAAAATTTCGAGACTTGAACGAAAATCACGTTATATATTTCTGAAGATAATGCTGTAAATTTTTTATGACAAATACTGAGCGTACAAAATCTTTAAAACGTCATGAGAGCTCATGATCATAAATGAACAGCTGGATTGTTGGAGGCGCGGAAAGTGTCATTCAAGCTCCCACGATAATATACTTGTCAAAAAGTATTATCTTGAGTTTAAAAAAATGGCCACTGTAAATGGAAGTGTTTTGCAAAAACATGCTGACGAATCACCATCAAGAATGACTCTAGGTTGTTGCTTTTTGCACTTCCTCTATTTCATTATTTTTTTTTTTTTTTTTTTTTTTTTAAGTCTGGCAAGTTTTAAACAGTTCTTTATGTCTTTCCTAATGCACGATTACAAGACATGTTGAGCAAATGCAGGGCATCAAGAAAGTTAGTTTTCCGCGCTCATTCAATGTGCATTTATATCCGTATTATTAATGTTATATTGGCGTTAGTCTTTCATCGCTCTGCGACTCCTTTACTCATATAACAGAATTATGGAAATGGTATTTGCTGGCAAATATACAACTTTAGTATGTTTAAGGAAGATGTTTACATTTTGCGCTGTACAATTCCAAGAAGAAGGATACCATTATTCAGCTCATTATTCTGTTTTAAGCCATTCATTGAAAAGCCATCATTCAAAAAATCGTTACAAGCCATTCATTGAAAATTATGTCATCCATGACTTTAAATTACACTTATGGTCCACAAGTAAATTCTATATTTCTTCAAAAATAAGGGATATTTTCCGATTATTAAACGTTTCCTCTTTTTTACCGGAAATTTTGACGCAGCATAAAATATTCACGCTAGATTTTGGTATTTTACACTCTTTTGAACTTCTATTTCTAACTAAATGTGCAAATATAGGGGCTACTGTAGATCGTTATACCATTTATTTTTAGGAAAATAGTTAGATCTTAGTTTTGTTTGCTTCTGGTAGCATTGTGTTCCTCTTAATTCGTAACAGAAGAGATGTACGATAGTTTGTATCTCTTTCATCTCCATCCTAAATATTTTCAGAGCAGAACTGTGTACATAATTTAATTTAGGCCAGGAATTCTCAACTGGTCGTATGCAAGAGAAAAACAAGTGGTACACAAAAGAAACAAAGCATTTTAACTACTAAATTCAGAAATCTTGTGAAGAAAAAGAACAATTGATAGAAATTTCCTGTGATCGAACTCTAAAATAAAAAATAACACACTTTTTAAAAATAACCGTATAAAAGGAAGGGTATATGAGCTGTTGACGCATTCAAAAATAACACACTTTTGAACTTTTGGCTGAACCAAAAAAAAAAAAAAAATTAAAATCATTTCTAATAAGGGTATTAAATTTTTATTACCTTTTTGCACAACCTATTTGTGTGAACAAGGATTTTCTTCCATGTTATATCGCAAAAATAAATACGAAACAAAATTAAAAATGGATCCTAATTTACGGTTAAAACTAAAATGAAACAAGACCAGACATAATAGAAATTGATCTGTCTTAAACAGGCCTAAATTTCACATAAAATTTTAAAGTATTATTATAACTTAAATTTTGCTAATTAAAATGGCAACCAATTTTTAATCTAATATTTTTATGTGTACATATTTAATACAAATATCTAATAGGTTTTGCAAATGGCAAAGTATACATATTTTAATATTTCTGTTGAAAAATTGAAAAATAATCATTGTAAAATATAGAGGGGGTACTAAAGGTTTTCAGTTTTTGTTAGATGGTACGCGTTAGTCAAAAGGTTGAGAACCGCTGATTTAGGCCATTCATTGCAGAGGCAAATTAGCATCTTCTTTGCCATTTATGTCTTCTTAAACAACGTTTTCTCTTTTTCTCCGTCAGCTAATTCAACTATCTCTTACTACAAAATAATTTTACTTCATTTCCACGGCTAATTCTTCAACGTCCTGCCGCATTAATGGACGCACCGAGTCACGTCTTTTCACGAAGATCTTCAAACCCAATATTCAGTGTTTTCTTAACATTATTATCTTTCCCGCTGCACATCTCTTTCAAGTTTTCACTTGTATTTTAAACAGTGTTTTCACGAGTTTTTAATATTCTGCATAAAATTTGAAACACTTAACTGAAAAGGGGCATTCCGCTGATCTCAGATCAATGTGTCTTTTACTAGACTCCATAATTTTGAAAATTTTCAAAAACTATTTAAAGTGATGACAAATAATACAGATGTTTAAGTGTCTACACAGAATAAAAAATTCCTAGATAGCCCATTCATCAAAATATAGCTCAAAAATACAGCAAAGAGACTTTTTTGGCACAAAAAAGCGATTTCATCTAAAAGTCCAACTTTGTTAAATTCCTTAAACAGGTCCGATCAGTTCAGTCCAATCAATTCAGTTGGATTGGATTACGGTGAAGTTCTCTAGGATATCTAGCTAAGAGGAAAGATACCTTCGCATAGGACGTTTTAAAAGAAACTACCTCATAATAACTTTACATGTAAGGAAAAAACCAGCAACCTGTTCGTCAGATTTGAACCCAGATCCAAATATAAGTGTTCTGCGTTTGGTCGTTGTTGAGTTCGAAAACGTTGAAAACGGCTTCTTGTTTATATGGTTGATTTACATCAGAAACCGAGCTGTTTGGAAATTAAATTCCTTACTTTTCGACTTTTCTTTGTCATTTTACAATTCTTATATTATATTTTTGTTCTTATATAGCAATTTTTATCTTTTTTGCGACTTACCAATTTGCGACTTGACTTCAATTTAAAAAAATCCATTCTATAATATTTTCATCATATAAACCGAATTGGTAATCACAATAAGCAAAGTGTATTTCATGCTTTCGTATATGCAGGAATTCAACAATTCGGCAACAATACACGAATGATAAGTATGCACATCAAATGCCTCCTACTTATAACATAACACACCAACAAAAACCTTTAAATGCAATAATGACGAAAACTTCTATTAAATAAAAATACACGGTAAAATTATTACATAAAATGCATTAAATAAGTACAAACAATACGCAACATTGAAAAGATACGTAAAATCATAATGAAATAAACACAAATATCTACAATAAGCTCTGTTCCTTCACCCTTCTATAAAAGAAAAAGATATGAAACCTTCGATTAACCGGTTTACATTAAACTGCTTAATAGTAAATTATTTGTTACTTTTGGCCTTTTACTATCTCCTACTTTTCATTATAGGAGTGCGTGAGCAGATCACAGTATTTTAAATTCTTGCAAATAATATTTGTGTTTATTTGTTTCTAATTGAGATTCAAACAGAAAACTGGATATGCATTTTTGTCTCAATAAGCTTTGGAAGGGAAGACTTGTACGGTCTAAACTAAAAATATATAATACCTTTTCATTTAAATATTCTAACTTTTCTCTGGATAGAGTTCTTATTATATCCGTTATTGGCTTTTTTAAAATTAATTAACAAAAGAAACGAAGAGCAGAAATAAAGCTTAAAAAATAGCCCTAATTGTAGTAAAAACCAATATAATAATTTTAAGTGGATCTGACTTTGTAAGCGGAAGAAATATGTTGCCTGTTAATCCTGTAGAATAAATATAGTAATAGTTCTTTATTTTTGCAATTGCGAGGACAAAATATCACGATTAGAATATGAGAAACTTACTCCTTAAATCCCATACCAAAGCATCACGAAATAAATTAGCCCCAACCACTGAGCTTCACCAGCTTCCAACACCAATCCTGATAGTGCATGTGCAGTTGTGAATATTATTGATACTACTTTACGATTAATATACAATTGGAGAACGTAAAATGCATGTGCAGTTGTGAATGTGCAGCATTTGCATGTGAAGTTGTCTCTTTGCATGTGCAGTTTTGAATATTATTGGTACTACTTTACGATTAATATATTACAATTGGAGAACGTAAAAATTATCCTTAGAATTATACCTTTTCAACCGACAGTCTCCGAGAAAAATGAGTAAGAAAAATATGACATAACATCCAATATTCGAAAAATAAACGAAAGCGAGAAGTTAAGTCCTAAAGTAAGTTGAGGCCCATTAGTGGCCGAATGGTAAAGTCATTGAACATTGGTCGGTGCGAGATTTGAATACTGCGAACGGACTGGCTGCGTGGGCGGTTTTGTAATTTTCCCCATGTGTAACGTGTGTACCAGCCACATTCCCTTAGAAAGTTCTTCACGAAGGCATCCCTCCCCTTAGGCAGATAGCCCTCGAGGCTTTGCCTCAATCGTATAAAACAAACAAACCAATCTAAAGTAAGTTAAGTGCACCACTTCCTTCTAATGCTCCTAAAGAAAGAAATCCAGAATTGTCCAGTCTAGCGATCATGGTGGCCACGTTCTTCTAATCTAGAGATCTAAATTTCCCTTTTCTAGCCAGTCATGTGTTGGAGAACTGAAATATGGCAGTCCTCCATCACAATGGATCCACAGACAACTTTGAACCGATAAGGGAAAGTAATCGAAGAAATCAGTTACATCATGTAGCCTATATATATGAACTTATAGTATATATGATAGCTTAATATGTATATGAACGTACTTCTCGTACACTGGGTATTACCTCATAATATTTTTTTTTCTGATTTTTTTCGAAAATGTGTGGTTCGTGAAGGGTACGATTCTTTAATCAAATTTTATGCAGTTCAAAGCGGAATCTTATTCTACAGAATTTATGTAGATTTGGCGAGCTATCCTGCACGAAATACTTATACTGGCAATTTCATTTTCCCCTCCTCAGCATTTTGCATAATTTGTGGAGCAAGTGCGATGTATTTTAAAATAAAAAAAGATTAGACTTGTTAGACTTGCGAAAAAATGATTAACAATTTCAAGTAAAGTTACAAATCAGTGGCAGTTGTAAGAAATAGGAATCATGGGCGTTATTATTAATCAAGTCACTCTTGTCTTTTTCCTTTATACATAAAGGTGAAAACCTTCAATTTTACAGCTACGCTTATGCTTACTATTTATATGGTAAGCATAAGCAGTGTTTCTTTTCTGTGTGCATACTTTGTATAAAGTATGTGTTTTTTCTCTTCTTAGTTGACACATGGAATGGATCGGATGGGGAACCAGTCATATATCATGGATACACTTTAACCAATCAGATATTGTTCCGAGATGTTCTAGAAGCCGTTAAACAATACGCTTTCAGAGCTTCACAGTAAGTACTAAAAAAAATTAATAATTAGTAACTGTTTTAGCAAAATTCAAAGTTCAGTTATAAAATTACAATCTTTGAATAGAAAATAACATTTAGTTGATTAAAAGAGGAGTTTATGTAATTTCTTCTAATAATATTGCATTTATCTGTGTAATATTTTGTTATTATTAAGCAAGGCAGAATAGAATACATTTTAAAGAAATAAATTTTAATGTATGTATTGAATAATTCATTCATATATTTTATAAATAGATTAAAACTAACTTTTAAATGCTGTTAAAATATAGAGAGCATATATTTTTGTAAACATTTGATCTTCTGATTTTAGATATCCAGTCATTCTATCCATAGAAAATCATTGTGATATACCTCAGCAAGTGAAAATGGCTTATTACATTACAACAATATTAGGCGGTGAGTTGGTTGCATGTTTTAACTCCACTGCTTAGGCAAATTAGGTTTTCAACAGACAATGATTTTAATTTACGATAGGCTTTTTATGCTTTTATTTCAGCTTCTCCATATTTGTTTTCATTTATTCTGAATTTTAAAATTACTAGAGTATTTTGATTTCTAAATTTGAAAGTCGATTTCCAATAAAGTTTTTAATTTACATTTTGATAGTAAAGTAATTTTAAGAATTTGAAGCAAATATATTGTTCTGGCACATATAAAATAAATTCATTTATATAAATACACTGTAAGTTGAACTTAATTAACTATTAAAAATTGCGTCTTGTAGTATAGCTAAAATTATAAAAACTTAGACAGTGTTACTTACTGGTCAACAGAAATACCAATATTCATATACGCTCAACACGAGAAGTTAACTTAAAAATCTGATCATGACTTAAATATTAATCGTACTCATCTGCAACCTCTTCCCTATGCACTAGAAAATACAAAATGTTACTCACCAAAACCAAAAGGATACATAATGGCTTTATATCGCAAAATAAATTGCTTTCTGTAACGCGGTCATAATCTCTCACTCTCTAAATGACACATTTGTTCGTTATTTAAATGCCACCTAATTTGCATTCTGGTGCAGGCTGAGGGAAGAAAGAGAAATTACAGGAAGAACATCAAGATTACGTATTGGATAAAATAAACCTTACATTATTAGGACAAGACCATAAACACACATGCCTTGTTTAGAATAGTTCCTGCACAAGAGCTGGAATTCTCTAATAGATTTCTAAAATTTGTGTTATAATTCTAGAATTTGATCATGTTTTTCTGGAAAGTATTTTGTTATTAAATTCTGTTACTGAACTTGCAAAAATAAAGCTAATTTTTTATTATAATGTCTGAATCAACTATAATTTTTACAATCTCAGATTAAATGGTATTCATAAATGAAATTAACTGTAATAATCAATATGTTTCGTCCAGCACTTATGCATATATAGATCATTTTGATTTTGATATCATTGTTTCTAAACTCCGAGAAAAAGCACCTATCTTTATACTGCTTTTTCTGAACCTTTGGAAATCACTTCTGAAACGAAGACTTTTAGAGTGCATAGAGTTTAAAAATTATTTTTTTATCTTTAAATATATATTTAATTTTGGCGACGTAAGTCCTAAACCTAATCCTTATCACCTTCCTTAAATCCAGTCTTCATTTTAGCATCTTTACTTCTTAAATCTACGTCTCATTTTAAATCTGATCTTTATTTTAACATTTACCTTAACTTTAGCCCTTACCTGACATTTACCTTAAATATAACCTTACCTAATCTAACCCTCTTTAAATTCGAAGGATTATGGCAGAGTAAAATTATTTTTGGAACTATCAGATACAATTTGCTTGAGTTTTAATCATCTAAACGTTATGAAGGCGTGTGGTAGCTAGTCTAACTATATAGTGTTTTATTAGTACTATCTTTATAATGCATTAGAGATTTTAATTCTTTTCAGATTTTAATTCTTTTTTCTTTTCAGTCAGTTTCAGGGTTGTTTAGAGTTAAGTAATTAATGTTAGTCTAAAAGAGTGATTCTCGAATCATTTCTTCTTACAACTCAGTCTATTCATCTCAATCTTTCTATCCGTGGCATAGTACAAAAATTCGTATTATTTGACAATTATAATAACAGTATTTTTGCTTTCCTCGCAACACAGCTTTACAACGCATTTTTGCAAATTTCTACTTCAAGTGTCAGTTTTTATATAAAAAATTAAACTTCCATACTTATTAATATTTTTCCTTCATCCTGAGAACACGGAATAAATATTAGTTTGTTTTCATATTTTAGACAGTTCTCATTAGCTATTAATTTATCATATTTAAAAAATTAAATTTAACAGCATCATATTTTTTCAAAAAACAAATGTGCAAAATTCTTCACTTCAAAACATTCATGAATTCTTTAGTTTTGATTTTAGTTATTCAGCATGAATGGATTTTATGAGATGGGTAGACAATGGTTGCTTTTTGTCGTTTTTTAATCTGTATAATATCAAATTCTAACGTATATGAAGTTCCATGTGGCGTAGCTTATATGTTATTTAAAGTTTACAAGTAATATTAAAAAAAGGAGTAGTAGTTTACGAGTAACATTAAATGAACACAGTATAAGCATTTTTATAATACATTTAACACACGTTCACCCTAGTGCTATATGTAGTCAACTCCCGATTAACCAAGTACAGATTAGCCTGGTTGCAGGTTAATCAGATCGTATCAAAAACAAATCTGATGCGGACACCACATGACTTCCTTGTATAGCCTATTAAGTTATACAGATTTCGTTGCTGTATTTCATTTAAACTTTATTTCCTCCAATTTCATTAGAGTTGTATTTCTCGTTCATTTAATTCAGTTCTTACTTCGCGGCAAAGCAAAAATACATAAAAATTCAAAACATCTTCATTAAAAATACTAAAATATGAAAAACATAAAACACAAAAACTATAATAGTTTAAAACAATGAAAACAATTTTTGCAAAAAAATTATAGTTTATAAACCAATGCAAGCCAATTCGGCCAGCGTGCAAGAAGGCAGATTTTTTGGTGCACGAAACTGAAAGTTTACTTTTGGTTCCACTCGGCAATGCAGAAACTGACTGAATTCACTACTACTGAGTTTCAAATGTTAACCAATAGCTGTTCGTTAGATTTAACTGGCCACTTAAAGTTTTAAATTGTCGATGATTCCAGAGCTATTGCATGCAGATTAAAAATCAAAAAGAGGTTAGAAAAAAAATGTTTCCCCTTTTTGATTTTAAAATCATCTCGACTTGTAATTTTAACATTTAGTTTTTACAAGTTTGCTTTTATTAATTTATTATTGTTTCTAGATGTTGAATGATTTTACTTTTTTTGCTAAGGAATTATAGAGTCACATGAATTTTTTAGCATACGCTTTTAACTGTTCCTTTTACTTCTAAAATTTTTTAAAAAATTTTGCAGCTCAATGCGCAAAATTCTTGACCATTAAGATCCCTCTAATTCATGTTGTCTTGCATATGAATGATCCAAAATTCACTGAGTTCGAAAATAAGTTTATATATATGACTGGTGCAGCCGATTGCAACGGTAAAGGGAGCTTCAAAATTCTATGGCTGCTTCTTTTTGAATTATGCGAAATACATACATACGTACGTACGTACAGACGTCAAGGAAAAAATCTGAGTCCATTTTAAATCCGTTTTACAATCCTATTTGTCAAAAAAAAAAAAAAAACCGTCTTTTATTCTGCCTGTACGTACAGATGTTACGCAGAAACATCTTTCAAATTGTTTCATGAGCGGTTGAAATTCGATACCTGAAATTTTTCGCAGTTACAATACTTCCTTTACTTCGTACAAGGAAGCAAAAAAGGAAAAAAGAAGCTTTCAGTACGAAGTAAAAAAGACGAAAAAGCTTTTAAGTTTGCTTATTGCGGAACGATGAAAAAATTATCATCACAAACTACCTGCGTAAAAACAAAACTGGTTATGAAAATATAAAAAAAAAAGGTGCTTGATAACAGTAGTGACAATAGATGTTACATAGATAAACAGTAGATGACATTTTAAACGGGTTTTTACGCGAGTTTGCATTGAGTGTAACGCCATTGATTACTTAGTTTTTCATTTACGTTTACACCTTCATTTTTTAAAGTACTTTATATTTTTTATACTTTCATTTCTTATTGTTTTAATACTAATTTAATTTGCGTACCTAATGATCTTACTTTCCAGATTAAATTATCGAAAATTCAGATAAATAATTTACAGTATTTTTCTGTCAATTGAAACGTGGACTTTCCTATGGTTCCCCCTGGTCAGTGCTCTAGATGGTGCGATGGCTAAATGAACGATAGCTTCGGCCATTCCTAGAGAATGCTTAACAAGCAAGGGTACAGCCATCATATTTAAAAATAAATAAATAAGTAATGTGTTTTAATCCTCTTGGCCTGTCTTTTTTTAATATTCCCAGGTTAACCGTGTGCGTCATCCTCGGTATTTCTGCGGCTGATCGGAAGCTGACTGTATAATAATTACATTTTAATAAAAATTACTAACTGAACTTTTACGGAATTTCTACGCTACAGCTTAACAGAATGTGGACTAATGCATCTTATAGCTTAGAAATCAATTTTCGCTTCTGTCGGATTTATCTCTCGAGCACTTCGCGGCGCGTCAAAGAAAGCACTTGAGAACAGTGCATTTAGAGGGACGAAAAATGGCAGCTGTTAAGATATTTTCTCCGAGTTTTATGAAGAGGCAAAATTTCTTGAAGCTATAACTGTTGATATAATGTCAAGATGACGACTCTCCATAAGTATTCAGAAATTTTACGACTTGTAGAGCGTCAAGCGAAACACAGGCACCCCAACTTTGGCGCCTGCTTTTCGATGATATGCCATTTAACCATTTTGTATGTAACCTGAATCTGTGTTCGTCAGGTAAATCGCTTTTTTGATAAACTTCCGCGAACTTTTACACAGTACAAATATTAGATTAAGTAAATGGTCAAACCAAAAATATAACCTCAAAACTGATTTACTTTATACCCATGGATATACTTAAAAACTGATCTACCTTAATAATCATTAATAAACTTTAAAAAATATATTCCTCTTGTCACTACCAAAGACATTCCTCTATAGAAATAACTTGTTAGTATAGTTGCCTAAATTAACGTAATTTGATGTTAGTGTAGTTTGACGTCTTTATTGAGGAAATTTAAAGTCTCTTGTGAAGAAACAAACTGAATCATATGTTCGAAAAGGTGAAATAAATAAATTTCGATAGCTAATCATAGTTGGGCATTTAATCATAATTTTGGCTTTAGTTCTTGTAAAATTATTCATTGTATAATCCAGTTCCATCTCTCAAAATTCTAATATCATAGTTTTTTAAAATTCCATAATTGCTTTCCTCGAAAGATATTACCGAATTCGTTTTCTCGTTGCTCCTCCCGTCGAGATCTTTGAAGAAGTAGATAGCATAATCGAAGAGTGAAGATAATCCAATTTAAAGTAGATCCAAGGAATGAAAATGAGCATTGCATAATCGAAGAAAGACTACGCTTTGTTAAGAAAAAACAATTATATGCCGCGTTTATTAAATAGCTGCTTTCTTCCATTAAATTCCAATTATATGGCGTCGAATACTTTTCACTATAAATTTTATTGCGACAGCATCAGATGTTCTACTGTTTTAATGTCTTAAAAGAACTGAAACTAAAAAGAATGTTTATAATACTGAAGAAACATCTTCCACTTCTTCGTCCTAGGGCTCTGGAGTTGTAACCTCACATGTCGCTTATCTCTCAATTGATTATATACTGCTTTTACTTGTAATAAATTAGAAGATTAGATTGAAGTTTTAAGATACATGAAGCTCAATAATCACCTTCCTACTTTTCTAGCGATCCTTTAAAAACTGTTCTTTGTCCACGTATGCAAGAATCAAAATACTTAAACGTAAGCAGTTTGAGAATTTAATACTTGGTACTTTGTATAAAGGTAAAGCTTGTCTTTGTATTACTTTGTCATGCACTCGGATATATTTCATATATTTTCTTTCTCGTCCAAAATGCATTCAGAAAGTGATAAGAAAGGAAGACTGATTTCTACTTATTTGAAAAATTGGGAATGCTTATATCGGATAGTGCTCTTTGGCAGTTAGAGAATAGACTTTTGGTCTTGTCTTTTGAAAAATAAATTTTCTTGCTAGATGACTGTTTATAGTAAATACAATTAACGCACATTTATAAAAAAACACATTTAAGTCAATAATTAAAATGTATTGCAAGGATTCAATTGCCAAATTGATTTTTCAATTATTAGACTGTTTAGTCAACTTTTCGTTACTTCACTATGAATCAGATTCAGCTTATTATTAATAATTAATTTTAGCATGAAAAAAATTGACTTTAAATAGAGAAAAGTAGAAATCTTTTTTTGGCCTTTCCAAACAAAGCCTTTGTTTGAATATTGCTTGTTAAAACATTAATGCTAATTACGAAATAAAATTTCTATTACATCTGCTTTCATCTTAAATTAGCTACACAGTGAGGTAGATACTAAATTACAGCGGCTTCTTGACACTACAGCGGCATTAATTCTAATAGAAATTTTGTATGTAACATCAGTGAAAGAACCAACATCATCAAGAAACATTATATCGAACAAAGTTTAGCCCTTCCATCTTCATAAAACTTTAAAATATATTTTTCTTATTTCATTAATGAGAAAATTTTCTTTCTATTTTAGAATATTTATATAAAGAACCTATTGGTCAGGACGAAAAGGAACATCCTTCTCCGGAGTCTCTTGCAAGAAAGATTTTAATTAAAGTAAGATTTCTTGTCAATTATTCGCCATCCCTACCTCTTCTCATTCATTTTATCATATTTTCCATTCAATGCTCGAAAATTTTATTTCAGTGGTCGATAGTTGTCGATAATTTATAACTTCAGTAAGTTTTCCTAGCTCAGTGGTTCTCAGCCTATGGTATGCGTACGTCTAGTGGTTAACTATAGCTTATTAGACCAAAACATTATCATTAATGGCGGAAAGTAACAAAATGTTATGATAAGGGTACATAAAAGTCAAAATATTCAGGAATTTTAAATTTATCGCTGAAAAAAAGGGAAAGTAAATGAAGGATTTCCAGTGTAATTATTCCAGTGTAATTTCTAGTGTACCTCAGTAACACGATTCCTTCCTGATCTTACGTTTGTAGCAATTCGAACACCTTCGCGCAGGGGACGTTTTTTCTCGATGTTCCGGGTATATAAACCGGAACACGATTCCCGCCTAATTGGCTTATATTAGGTCTAAATGGCCGAGTTTGTGTCGATTTATTTCTTTCAATTGGATACGTAGCAAAAGTGACTTTAATAAATTTGAGCAAAATGTTGATACCATTATTTTTTTATATAATATGAATGCATTCAAACACATAATGTTTAAGAAATGGAGAAATATCTGTTTGTAGTATTTTTTGAGTTGTTTTCTTGCTGTGAAGTACGCTATGATAATTCCATCGCTCATATCTACTCCACTCATTTTTATTATAATCAATTACTAGCTCTGGTTTCTTTGTTATTATTTTCATATTACGTTATCGTTGTCATTATGTAAAGTACTTACTAAATAAACCTCCCTCTTATCTTTTCATTTCATTAGCATAATATACGCATGACGAGTATACTCGTCAATACACAAAATCGTGTCGCTTCTCCATAACGAGTATACTCGTCAATCACAGTTAACTGGTTAAGGCTTATGGATTCAAAAATAATCTGGCATTTCTCTTGCTTTCTGAGATAATTTTTATATTTCTTCATTGAATAACTGCAAGTTGTCATCAATTCTTTTATTTTTCTTTCTTAAGAATACAAAACATAATTAATTGAAGTTGCTGCAAGCTTTCTGATGATCATTAGAAACCGTTTGTTTTGGGTCTCTTTATAAAATAGATTCCTCCCCAGCCATTTTTAAATATTTTTAAGGAAAAGAGCTTCTAGTTTTGAAATTACTGCTCAGATTTCTCTTTCTTTTAAGAAAAATATTATGTTAAAAATTTGAAGATTATATGCATTTTCATCGAGTATCAGCTAAGGGAGTGCAAAACCAGTGTCTGTATATGCTAGATATAAACGCTAGACTTTGTTCAGCCTTTTCGCTTAAGAGCATTAAATGCCCTTCTGTACGAAACGCTTTAAAATGTCCACATTCCCTCACTTTTTTCACAAAGTTTCTATCTCTTCACATTTTTAATTGAGATATTTATTTTCTTGATACAAAATTATTTTAAAACTCTGTTTTAAATTATAGTTTACTCGTATTTTGATATGAATCCGTCTTTAAAAATCAGTACCTAATACTTGACATGTTGAAAAGCTCGAAAGTTACGAAATAAATTCTTATCTGCTTCATAAAAATTGTCATTGTATCATTATTTGATGCGCACCGATCTGCACCGTTCGATTGCTCAAGCCGAAAAATGAGACACCATGATTTAAAAACAAATGGCTCTACTTGACACAATAATATTTACAACTGATACTGGCTTTACCCTGATGGCTGAGATGTTATCCTTTCAACTTCTTATCGTTCATCTAGCATAGTTATTAAGGAAATCTCTATGAACTTGCAATACGCAACGCCTATTTAACATCTAATTAAACCCCCAGAATAAACTTTAATTGCTCCGTTTTTATTATTAAAATAAAGCATAAGATGAAGAGAAGATCTATATACTTCCGATCTATATACTAATCGAAAATAATTGAATTATTTTCGGTTAAGAGATATGAAACATTTATTTCCTTGTTTGTCTAAGATTTGGCCATTACATTTGTTTATTGGTCATTAGAAATGCATACATTTCAAGTTTATATTTATAATAAGAGAAAGCTTCAGTTAAAATATTTAATAATAAGTTGCAGAAGATAAGAATTTGAGTTCTTGCAATGTATCTGACAAATTACTTTTAAAATTCTTTCCAGGGGAAGAAACTGAAAGATGAGCTAGTGACGTCTGAGGAGGATGATTTCTTGCTCGAAGAAGAAGAGGAAAGAGAAGAAGCTTTAGCATATGCACTGGCAGCATCTTCTACACCTGTTGCTGATGACGCCGATGTGATACCTCCCCCCATGCTATCAGCAGTAAGGAATCGTATATAATTTTGGAAAATGTTGCTGTTCATGATTCATTCATATAGAATAGCGTATTCTAAATCCTTTAGCATTCTGGCTGACGTACATACTCGTATAACAGCATTTTTTTGCAACCCACAGGCATGTAGTTGCTTAAAAAAAAAAAAAAAAAAAAAAAAAAAAAAAAAAAAAGATTAAAGAAAGGAGAGATTACTAAAAGAAAATAATGTAATAATAAATAAATTATATAGTTATTTAGCAATTGATTAATAGCTGTAAAATAACAGGTAAGTGAGTATAATTATTTGAAAAGGAAAAAGAGTACATCAAAGTATCTTAGGACGAACACTGATTTATAAGGAGTATGACTTACGAGTGCAGTTCAAGAAGTAAGGTAACAAATCCTCTGAGAGACAAATTTTTTCCATGGGCATATATACGGATACATTATAAGGCACTGCTACCAAAACTTCAGTGACAGTTTAGAAGAAATTAGCATCAAATCCAGAAGCCATGTAACGACTATGCTTTGCACTTACACGTTAGACTATCTTTTCGCTGGCTGCTAGCAAATCTGAGAACTGTGTTATCTTACATTTTAAATTGCTCTTGTATATTTATTATCATTTTCACAGAATCTATAACTTAATATTCAAAATTTTTTGGTCTGTTTAGTCTATTATTAACATTTTATTTATCATCAAATTTGACTGATATGTGATTTATTTTATATTCCTTAGTTATAAATGGATGTACACTTCTGGGACCTATATTTGCCAAATTTGTTGTCACTTAAATATTCGAAAAAAGCAGTGAAATGTAAATAGTCATTTTTTCTTTTGCTCCAAAAAGATTTTAAAGTAATTAAATAGCTTATCATAATAATATTTAATGCAATCGATTAGTTTTCCAATTACTTGGTTTTGTAAGTTATCTATTCAAGACATGATTGAAATATGGATGAACTATTTGAGAATTTTTTAGTGAATAAAATTAAAACAGTTGTTAAAATTTCATAAATATGGCATACTACTTCTTCATCTTGAGATGCTGTAAAATTATCAAGATCATTTTCTGAAAATGGTATGCTTTTACCAAAACTGAAGGTTTGGTTTAGTTGATTATGGCAAAGCACACAGGGGTTATCTGCTTAAGAAGAGGGATGCCTTCGTGGAGGACTTTCTGAGGGAAACTGAGGAGTATACACGTTACATATGAGGAAAACTACGAATGCAGCCAACGCATTTGTCTGGAATCGAACCCAGGTTAGAACTACCGGCGTTCAGCGAGTTTACCGCTTGGCCGCTGGTGGGCCCCAAAACTGAAGGAATCTACTCAATATACTTATGATACTATTTATTATTACTTTATATTAAATATATTTAACAGCCGGTAATTTAGAACTTTTGAGAACTGTGATTTATCAACTGCTAGAGGACACGAAACAAACTTAGATTGAAAGTTTCAAAAGATATTTCTAAACAAATATTTCATTTACTATAACCGTAACATCATTAAGCTAATTGATCTCGAAATGGAAATTAATAATAGGGAGTTACATATTAAAATATGCATAATTTTCAGGCTGTATAAATAAGAAATTCTAAAAAAAGTGGGGATACATGATCTACTGGAGGAGTTCGAAAATACTACTAAGACTCACACAAGCATTTTAACATAATATTTTTATCAATAATTAAGTAATTGCAATACTGATTTTTAAAGTAACGTGCATGATACTTGAAATACTTTAAATTATCTTGAAGCTATTCGTTAATAATTCTTATAAGTTATTTATTTACTTGAAGCAAGATGGATTGTTCAAAATGGCACTGGTTTAAACGAATCAGGCCTAATTGCTTTTGGCCATTTTTCGGATTGCAATAAGAACCTACGTGTTAGTTTCCGGTGGTGGTGTAAAGATGGGCGAAACTGGAGAAAAGAGACCATATGTGTATTACCCCTTTCGCTTTACTATCAGTTTTATACCATTTAACTTCGATTGTCATACTTTAATCTTTAGCTGCAACTGGAGGGCAGTTAGAAAAGATAATCTTAGGTCTTTCTGGTATCTTAAACGTCTACTAAGGGTAAAATGTGATAATCAGACATGTTCAAAACTTCAACAATGCGGAATTATAAAATATAAACAACTATCTCGAACATACCAAGAAAAGTTTTTAAATCTTAATTTTTTTAACTTTAAATATCTTAATATTTTACTATTAAGCTTTTTTAATTTTTTTTAAAGTACAAATATTTTTTAACGTAATTTAGCGTACTGAAAGACTGCAAAAGATTTACACAAAGCTTTACATAGAGTTATTCTGCATTTAATGACATACATTTATTCACTAAAAGCAAACTATAAATCATTAGAATAATTAATAATAGATAAAATAAACAATACGCAATTTATTATTCTTAATAAGCTTACGATTTGAAATCTATAGTTTTGCTATTCAGAAAGATTTTTTCATTTTTTTATTAATTTATTTTTTATTTTTCATTCGAATGTCTATTTTCGTGTTACAATATCATTAAGGAGACTATAAAGATTTTTCTGCACTGATTTGTGATCATTATGCCCTTTAAATTCCACAAATTTGGTAAACGTTTCTGCAGCCTTATCCCAAGTAATATTTATAAAACCTTCTTTTCCTCACTCTTTGTTGCTTTTGACACCAGAAGATTTTTTTAACTGATTCATCATTAACTTCTTTAATTCATTCAGCAAATTTTGTTTTAAAACATGTGGCTATGGCTTAAGTGTGACTCTTGTTCGACAGAACTCTTTGGAGTTCTTCAACTTAGAGGGTTTGATCATAGAACTATTAATACAGTATTTGCTTTCTTCAACTTAATTTTGCTACATAACTTATAACCATAATGATGCTGGCCGAAGAAAGTGCCTAGCTCATACGATTATCTCCGAATGACAAGTCCGTAATCTCGTCAGATCGAATATATGCATTCAGGATTATCGGATTGTTTTTCTATAGTTTTTCATTTAAAGAAAATATCAGTGCCAATGAAAACTAGTTTTTACTTTTATGATAAAAACATAACTTTTAATATGTGTAAAATATAATTCTATTTCACATTTTTAGCCAATGAAAGCCAAAGAAACTAATCGATTTAAAATCTTTCTAGGAGGGTCGTTCTAAACGTATTGCTGTAGAATTATCCAGGCTTGTTAACTATTTCACCGCTAAGAGGTTTAGTTCTTTTGAGGAATGCAGAAATTTATGTAAGCCATCTTAAAATTTCTCTTCTCAGTTCCAGTACCTGATACTTGTTTATGACTGTGCAAATGCTAATTCATGTAAATATTTGCTTGCATGTGTTTCCTTTTATTTCACATTGATTTTTGTTTATTTTATGTTATCTCCTATTGTATTTAATTACCTATTATTTATTGTTAGAACCATACTTTTTTGAACTTTTGCATAGCTCTAGTCAGACGGCTTATCTCGTCCTAGCTTCTAAAGTACAGAAAAAAACTCAGAGGAAGGATGAAAATAAACAGCCGCTAACTGTGGCTTAACGTTGAAGAAATGTTTCAAATTAATATATTAGACACATATTAAAATGCACCTACTAGGCTTTGTTTTCGCCTTTAATTGGTTAAGAAGCAATTATGGCTAGCAAAGCCGATTACGTCCTTCAGTAACAGAGAAGAATAATAAAGTAACCAGTCAGCGATAGCTGCCAAAGTCTCCCCCTAGATCTGAATAATTCTTCACTTAAAAAAATTTAACTAATTTGCATCCTGGCGGGAGCGGACGAAAGACAAAATGAAAATACGGTAATAATAATAATAAATAACTTGTTAATTAACATGAAGCCCAATAACTTCACTCTGTTTAAAAGCTAAATAATTGAACACTCTTTGGTATTAGTGCTATGATTCTCCATATTCTCCATTTGCATTAAATGTATCAAAGCTGAGATGAATCTACTCATCTTCCCCACCTGCTAAATTAAGAGTTAAAATTAAATGTAAACACGGGAAAAGGTATGTACGCACCATGAAAAAGTGGAGTATAAGGATCTTTTACATAGTTTCTTGAAATTCTTTAAATACGAAAGGACAAAGAAATTCTTTCTCTGTTTATGAATTGATGTTAATATTGCATTTTTATTAATATGCGAATTGTCTGAATATAAAATTATATTTTCATATCTTACGAATTTTTTGCAAGATTTATCATAATTCTGAAAATTGTTATTTGCGTATTTCATTTTTTTGAAATATATATATCTGTATATATTATAACGTAAAGCTGTTATATACGTATTTCATTTTTATATATGAGTTAACTCACATTAATATAATAAAACAATTAACTTTTCGTCCAACGCCAAATAAATTGTGAAGAAAAAATTTCGAAAAAAGTTCGACAAATTAATATAAATGCTCGCACTTGGTTCAAATTAATTAATTTTGTAATTACGGTTGCAAGTGTGCTTGTTTTATTAGTTTTGAGAACATGTGAAATATTTCTAGCTTACCCATGACCAAAAATAAATAAATAAATAAATAAAAATTAGAAATAGAGATGTTACAATACTGGACAGTCAAAAATGGAAGGGAATAATTCTGTTTTTCTTATTTTCGAGAAGACTGTTATTAATGCTCAATGAATGAATATAATTGCAAGCATACTACCGATTAGTGAGCAACAAATGGTATGAGCTCAATTTATATCATAGAAATAGGCTATTCTACTAAGTTAATTAAGACACTAAAGCTGCAATTAAAATTTTAAAGAAATCCAATCAATTCTGGAAGTTAAATTTTAACATATATATGTAATGCAATATACTGAAATTTCAACAGCAATTCAAATGGAAATTAACAACTCGTAAATCCCGTTTGAATTTTACATTACATTCTTCGGATTTTCAGTCACTAGTACAATTTATTATTAAGGGTATTCATGTGCTAAATGTTTGTACTTTTGAGAATCCATATCATTATTTTCATTTGCAGGGAAGTTCAACGAAATGGCTTCTTTCCAAGAATCAGTGGCTTTAAACTTGAGCAGTACCAACGGTCCTGATTTCGTAGGCTACAACAAGAAGCACTTCTCTCGCATCTATCCAAAGGGGACACGAGCAGATTCGAGCAACTATGACCCATTCCCGTATTGGAACTTAGGATGTCAAATGGGTATGTCACATTTCCTTTCTTTTCATATTCAGTATGGATGCTCACAGCAGCCGTTGGGTGCTCAAAATGGTTAGAGAATGAAGGCGTTACCTGGTGGCCAGTTGGTGACGGACTAATGCTTCTTTCACTTCCACCTCTGCCTCTTACTCTCTAGCCAACAGGTATTTGAGAAGTTTCATGCAGGATTCTTAGACGGGAAAAAATCGAATTTACGACACACCTGCTTCCCTTTGTTGTGTATTATATTCTCCGTTCCAAGATTTTGTAAGGGGGCAGAATAATTTTTATTACTCGTATTTAATCATTTATTTATTCTCTGTACTTCCGGATATTTGACACCCGGATTTCGGACTTTGTACTGTGTACGAATACCTTATTTGAAATGAAACAAATATCTGTAAAATCTATAAAAAAACAGGACAATGAGTTTTCGTATTGTAATGTAATTCTTATTCTTTTTTTTACAGTCGCCCTGAATTACCAGACTTGGGATAAACACATGTATATGAATGAAGCGAAATTCGCTCAGAACGGAAGATGTGGTTATGTGCTGAAACCAAAGTATTTGATCTCGAATGAAAGTTAGTATCAAAGGTTTATTTCCTTTACTTCAGGCACTGCGCGCTTTTATGTCTGCATGTAAAACTGTTATATAAGATGAGGTAGTGTACAGTCATCATACTGAATCAGCATCTGTGTTCGACAAAATATAAAAGAATAATTCTCAAGTTCAAACTTTCTATGACAAATAATTCAAAACACTGGATACTTATATATTCAACAGGTTCGTTAATTTCAGGTGTAAGGAATTATGACATTCCTACGTGAACCCGTGTATACTATAATGATGATGATAGCAAGATCTGCAAGCATACGGAAGATTCGTAGCTAGAATCTTCCATTTTCCTGATTAACCGTGTTGACTTTTTTTATTCCTCTCTCCTAATAGACTTTATAATGACACCTGAATTAAATTGTGGTGCACCGTAATTCGTCACCATCTAGATTTGGTCTACTGGGTCGTTATAGTGAATTCTTCACATTCACTCATTTCCCCATGCATTTCTTGTAGTGAGAGTGGTTAACAAGTTCAGTTAGCAAATTTAAGATATGTGGTCCGATTCCCAGCAAGGTTAAAACTGAATTTTCAAAACTCCTGCTTTTTGAAAATTTGAAAATTTTTTTGTCATGAACAGATCGGACGAAAAATTATAGTCTAAAATTTAATCGAAGCGGATAGAAGCACAATTAAAACGTCGAAATTGTTCTTCGAAATAGAATTGGGTAATTAACCAGAAGTTCACATTTTAAAGCAAGTTATTTTAGAATTTCACTGTTGATGTACAAAGCATCGGATTCAGATAAAGGTTCAGCCAAGGAAATAGTGTTGCAGGAATCAAAAATCTTAAACTTTATGAATTTTCAATATGGAGATCAGCACGCTCAGGAAAGAGCTCAGCCAAATAAATGCATAATCTTTGGCTCAGCGGACATACAGGAGCTGAACTGAACAGACAATTTATACCTGAATCAGAAATAAAATATTCTGCCCATTTACCGGGGCATATGAACATATGAATTCCTTATATGGTCTATAACTATGCTTTCGAATGTAAAAAGTGCCACTACAGCCAGAAACATTTACCATTTTTTGAGATGAGAAATAGCTCTAGTCGCTTATATATATATTTATGACTAGCCGGTCATATCTTTCGATGGCTGTAATGATATCAGCAATGATTTTCATAAAAACGGTATTATAAAATCTCATATTTAAGGACCGTAATTAGACATAAATAAAATTTATATATAAATAAATTTATTGACGGTAACAATTTTCAAATTATAGTGAATTACGAAATTTGAGTAACCATAGAGCTTTCGTTAAGGATTTTCTAACCAATAAACATAAATAAGAATTCTGAGATTTTTATATGGTGCTTTGATGATTTGCAGATGATATATGAGACTTTTGGCGACAACTGCAGCTCCAAGCATAGTACTCTAAATATATTTCTTTCAACAACAGCTCCTAAAAGTAACGTTAATATTTATACGGATATTTTGTTACATTATTTATTTAATATCAATAATTTTCTTGAAATTTAAGGAATGAGATTAATGTAAAGTAACAATTTAGAAACGAAAAGAACTTTGTAATCACTTTATCTATATTTCTCTTTCCTCTCTTACATAAGCCATTCGGTGTATAATTAGTAACTTTAAAATGTTACATATTTTTTTTTTTTTCATTTTCTTAACTTTTAAAATCAACTTTTAAATTATGCGGCAGGCAGAGCTGTAGGTAAAGGCCAGAGCCGTACAAAACCTCTAGTGTGTTCTAGGCTAAATTTAAAGTAGACCTCGTTTCTAAAAATTGCTTTTAGTGAAATCTTAGATAATGTTACTTAATTTTTTTAACAATATGGAATAAAAATATTAATAATGATTGCATAACAAAAGATTTCTGTTGTAAGGAAAATATATAAAAAAATAAGTATTATAATTATTAATTAGTTTTTTAAAAATATAAGTTTTTCGTTTTGAAATTTTAAAAAAAATTATTACTCACAATCTATCCAATCGAAATTTTCTCTTTTCTATAGCAAACTTTGTTAAAATCTTACTCTTATCTGTTCTACTGAATTACTTAAATAATTTAACTACTTAATTTGACATTAGAAACGTTTTAAAATTTCTTAAGTTTACAGATTTTTAATATAAATATTATGTAATTTGTTTGATTTAAATAGCTAACTAAAGCTTAAGAGATGATTTTAATTCAAAATATTAAGAACATCATCTGAGAAAAAAGTAGAATCAATAAATAAATGTGAGTAACTTCATAAGTATTAATAAAAAAATTAAGAAATATTTTATTACAACTATCAATGTCATAAATAAATGTGCTTCTTTTCACCCAGAGAATCTACTGTACTATTAAGCAAGCACCTCCACTGCCCTTAAGTTAAAGCATGCTTAAGACGTTGAAAATGTTTATTTATTTTAAAATTCGTTTTATCCTAATTCGTAGAATAAACGAAACATTGTTGACATTGCTTGTTATAATAGACATACGAGTGCACAAGTGTACACACATGTACAATATGCGTATTTGAATTTATGTAATGCACAGGCCATGCTTACTGTACACTCTCACCGAATACGATTTTATACTTGATAAATTATTGTATTGTCTGTTATTTGAATTTTTAAAAATAATAACATCAATACTTTACATTATTAAAGATTTATTTTAAAATAGTTTTTATTTTATTAGTCCAAAGGGATTTGAATCCCGAAGGACTATTAGTTTCGTTTTGGCATTTTGCGTCGGACGGATAAATGTCGGTTCACTTTTCAAACTGTTGCCATAAAATGTTAGAGTCCTGCATTATATTTGAAGAAATTAAATAATGAAAATCTGCGTAAATGTATGTATATTTCTCACATTGTCATAAAATAACGATACATAGAGTCATCGAATTTTGAATAACGTAATCCTCCAACGAATATGAGCATGTGGAAGACCAAATTTGAAATTTGAAATTTGTTTTATGATCGATTTCCTATTTTTTAAAACTTTGACGAATTTTTGATTAACAAACTCAAGGATTTCAAAGCGAGCAATGGCAACGTTGTGCAGAAAAAACATTTTTATCTCCAGCGCGTGAGTCTCTGCATCGGAAATTCTAAAGATATGCTCGTTTTAAAACTATTTTGCGATATTGCTGTTGCACTGGATCTTATGGTTTAAGTGCGAGGAACATGATATTTAATAAAGAAAGGTAACACACAAAATGTTAAAAAACGCCCCTTTGGACGTAATTTAAAATCTGAAACATTTCAGATTTTTTTTTTTTTCATTATTTGTTTATTTATTTTATCTTTATCCTCCTCGCTCTTCGTTGTTGAGGCCAGTTATGGGTTCAGCAACTGATATTTGTTTCGTTTGTCTATCGGTCAATCTGGTACTACTAAGGGCAATGCCTCCACGATGCAATTTGAAGATAATTGCCTGTATGTAATCTGGCGCTTCAGCGCAATATGCAACTGAGCATTCACTATATTTTTCATGAGAAACGTTTTCAAGTCTCGAAAACTCGAAACCTTTGATCTTCAAAGTTAATACTTTTTTCCCCATACCTTTTATTACTCTCAATCTCAGTAAAATAAATTTATGCTAATGAATCTCAAATTCATCCAGTTATATTGTATTTAAGAAAGCGAAAATGGTAGTTGAATGTTTTTTAGTTTATTCAACCATTTTATCCCACCGTGCTGAAACAAGTATTTCAACACTTAACAAGGTAGCATCATCAGTAATCAAATTTAACCTACTACTAATACTACAAAACAGTGTTTGAAATATTCATGATGCTTATGTTTAAAGTATGCATGTTCTTTGTGATGCGTCTACCTTTGTCCAGCGCCTGGTTCATCTAATGGATTCAGGATGATCTAACGCAAAAAAACGCAATTTCAGTTCACTAAATTCCTCTAAGCTTCGCAGTATGAATTTTACTACATTTACTGCACCACTGTATTTAATAAATGTGTTTATGAAAATACGAGAAAGTTCTAATTTTGTTTTTTCTTCTTGATTTCAACAGAGACTATTTTATATTAGGGCTTACTTACTTTGAACTTAGTGCAGACAATGTTAACTATTTTTGAAAAATTAATCAATGGTTTTGGAGAATCCTTAAAATGTGGGAAGCCTCGTCATTGCAACTTTAAATTCTGTAGACTTCAGTATTTATGATATATATTCTAGAAACTAATAATATATTTAAATTGTAATATTTTACTTTTACTTGAAAATTTGTTGCAGAACTATTTTTCTTGATAATACAAAATGCTTAACTTTCTTTGCTGTTAGCTGAGGAAATGAAAGTTTCAAAGTACAGTATTTTACTAACTATTATGTCATATTCACTTTATTTCATAACCCGAATTCGAATTTATTGTAGAACTTGCATAATCTTCTTTCACCTGAAAACAATTGTATTTTATTTGCAGTTAGTTTTCAGATTGCAAACTATCTTGTTTGTACTGCAAGACTGTCACTATGTTGTAGAACAGTTATTATTGACAATTAAAAATCTTGTATTAACATATTATTCTGTTTGTGTAACCATCAAATCTGGTAATGTCCATATACTATAGTATTTTTATTTATCGTAAAACATATCTGAAACTTCCTCTGTATGACGTAGCTGTAATGATGGCATCACTGTCATTAAATAAGAAACAGTCAAACTGGATAAAAATGTGTAATAAAGACGTGTCTTGTAGACACCATGATGCCTTCTTTAAAGCGGTCATCGTAGCAGCTTTTAAATTTGGTAAAAAAAATTGCAGTCCCAATCAGTATCAGTTTTTTAGAATGAACTATATGTAATCTTATTAAATTTCCTCTTATGCCTTCAGACACGAAACTTTAAATTTAAGTAACTGATAATGACTTTCATTCTTTTTAGTTTCATATGACCCCAATAAAACCCCTTATCCAGGACAAGAGTTTCATGTAACACTAAAGGTAAGAATATTTTTAATTAAATAAATAATAATAAAAATTGCAAGAAAAAGTTTATTTGTTTTTCTCAATAAAAAGAATGCCTTTCACTCATAGAATTTATAGATTTATTAATGGCTTAAATGGAATTGCGCATACATAACCTGTTTAAGCCTTCTACTTAGGCATTCTGTTTTGTGGAACGGAATTTTGTGTGTGTGTGCGTGTGTGAGTGATAAAGTATTTTGTGTTATGCTGCTTTTTGGAATTAAATATTTTTACCTTGAGGAATAAAATTAGTTTCAACATTGGATTACTGATGCTGCCAACATTGCAGCAAATTCTTGTCTCTTGTCTCAGAGAGCAATCTCTTGTCTCAGAGAAACATCTGGTAGGGTCGATCATCTGAATAGATCGTTTAACTCTGGCTACTTTGTATTCATTTTGATTCCCTTAGAAGAAGCTCATTCCATCAATAACTTGAAATTTATGAGCTGTTTATCTGCAAATGTCAACAAACAGAAATATAAAAAAAGTTCTCTTTACGGTTTACTTTTCAGTGTTTAGGTAATAACTTATTCATTTCAATAATTATTTGAGTTTAAATAATTTTTTAAAGAAATATTTTCAACAAAAAGCTTTTGTTTTTTATTACAAATAGACATTTTCCAGACACTATGATTTCTTTTAAATGTTTTGACGTGTAAACAACCATTATATATATATATTAAATAAATTCAAAATAATTGCTTGTTAATTAATAAATGATATTGTAAAGGCTAGATTAAGTATCTGCAGTTCAAATAAAAGAGTACGTGAAGTTAAATGTGAGTGTTCTCAAATGGGAATATACTGACCATCTTACCTCCCAGAAAAAATAATAACGATATGAAAAATTGTTTTCCTAATTTCTAATTGTTAGAATTTCTAATGATTAGACTTACCATGTGGGCGATAAACAAGTAGAAAACATAAAACTAGCCGAGTCTTTTAATTTAGTGGATAATTTGTTAAAATTGATTTACTCTTTGCAGTAAAAGTAAATTATTCTCCACAAATACTTGAAAACCTAATGAAGGAAATATTTTTAAGAATTATGTTTAATGATGATTTCAGTAATCTTTATTTCTTTTTGTAATATATATATACACACATAGTTCTATATTTAAAACTATATGTACATGTATTAGTTTAATTTTCTATTAGACCTCTGAATACCATTCTTAATTAGGAAATTCTCCATGTAACATCTAATTTTATCATGGACCAAGGCCTGTTTTATTTAAGCTAGCATTTAAACCGGCCACTTAAATATATAAATTAATGGAAATATTTCTGACCGCTGTTATGACTAACCTTGACATTTGTTTTTTTTTACTCCTGAGGAAATTATAACAAGTTTTGATAGTAGCACTGAAGGCGCCAAACTTCTATCCAATTACATACAGGATGGCATTATCAACAGCCAGTGATATAATTGAGGACAGTGCTTGAAAAAGATGATTGCCCATTAGGCATCCAACCATCGTCTTCTACTTTTCTAAATCACTTGAGTAAACTTCTATTATTATATGTATACTTGGGTGTGTGAATGAATGTTCATGTGTATGCTATTGCATTTTAAGCCTTTGCTGTAGCCAGTTTAGTGCTCATGCATCTGAAAGCATTGAAATTTAATTGTAATTTGTAAGCGTTAATTGTGATTCATTTTCTACATATTGTATCTATTCTTATTTCTCTTTAAATGTGTTCTTATTAGGTAATAAGTGCCCAGTTTCTACCTAAGTCATCCGGTGCTTCAGAATCAGATGTTGTTGATCCATATGTGTCCATAAGAGTATTTGGGCATCATCTAGATAAGTTAAAGAAGAAAACAAAATTTATAAGCAACAATGGTAAATGAAGCTCTGTTTATCACATCGCAAGATTTAAAACTCTGTTAATGTCTGTTAGTAAAATTTTCATATTTAAAAATATTTAACACTACAGTATTCCCCTTAACCAAACACGGCTTCAACATTTTTGTTGCCCTTGATTATCAGTACACGTGGCGTCTTGTATATAAATTTAACATATTAATAAATCAAAACAAAAGATGCATTTATTAAACTGTTATTTGAGAACAGCTTAAATATCACCCTTAAAATCCGTGCCTTAGCCCACTGGCCATGTTGCTTAGCTTTAAGCCGACACCAACCTTCAGTTGTGTACTACCTGTTGAGTACAGTTAAACAGCATTATTTTGTATCGGTTTTAATTTAATCATTTCATTCATCTCCAGCTAAATAAAATACAAGCACAGTGAATAAAAAGTGGAAACAGCTTTTGAGAACTTACTAGCAGCTAATTGAAGACGCCCTCTGTTATGAAAGCGGTACCATTTGGAGATGATTAAACAGAATCAGTTAGAGTTTGCGGATATATAAAATTGGAGGGAATCAGTATTTCACTAACCTATAAATAGATCAACATTTTATTCTCATAATTCAGGTTAGGGCACGTTGACGTTTCATGCTTCCTGCTCCAAAATTTCTAATGAACTCTATATATTAACTCACCAACTAAAATGTGGTGGACAATAATTCGTTATTACCTGTATTTGGTCAACTGAGTCACCTGTATCTCCTAGTCGCTTATCACGAATGGGAAAATATAAGAAATCGCCAAATTCTTCCAAACGTTCTCACGTTGTGTAAATAGTAGCACGTTTAGCTACCAATTGGAAGATCTCGGGCTCAAATCCCGGGTAGAGAACAGTTGATTAGTCATTTTTCTTGTTCCCAAGAATTCTAAAAAAAATACTTACGTTTGTTTATTCATTTTTCCCAAAATATTTTTATTTGATTGGAAACATTAATATCTACATTATGTGTATAAAACGTAATACATGCGATCAAATTTGGTTTAGTAAATTTTATGTTCCTTATACAATTTATAATTTGAGAAAAACCTCGGTTATAACAAATTTATTCCAAAAGTTATTTTGTTACTACTACAGTTACTCTTATTGATGACCTATATTAAAAATTAAATAAGATGATGATTTCAAGAATTTTCATGCATTATTTGGAAATAAGGTTGTTTCACGGTAGTTAAAGAATATCATAAACTTTATTCACCATTGTATCTGTTCTCTCGCAGATTAATGTTCAATCGTGGTTTGACTAAATGCTTTAATTTATTTACCTAGGAAATGCGAAACTAAAAAAAGTATTTTTATTTTTATTTTTAGGTTTCAATCCAGTATGGAATGAAACTTTTAAGTTTGTTCTGAATGCTCCGGAGCAAGCAATCTTCCATTTCCGCGTCAAAGACGAAAATATGACCACTAATGAGCTTATTGGGCAATTTGCAGTGCCTTGCATGTCAATGAACGAAGGTTGGTATGCTTTAATTCACATATGTAATTGGAAGCAATTTTGTATTCTTTATCTACGATCACTATTTACATGAAAAAAGCAGTCTAAATTGGGCTATTTCAGCAATAAATGTTTCCAATAAAATTTAAGTAGATTTTACCGAAATTTGAAACTTTTGTACAAGACGATTAAAATGAAAAAAAAAAAAACATGATGTGTACACAACATGATTTTCTTATACGGTGACCTTTCTTATATAAATTTAACATACTCATTTTTTTGCTGCATATCATTTAAACTTATTTCTTCGAGTTTTATTAGAGATATATTTCTAATTCCAGTTCTTACTTGGCAGCAAGTCAAAAATATAAAAACATTTTCATTAAAAATTATAAAATGCAGGACTTAAAACACCAAATACAGCTAAACACAGATAAAACAAAATTTTTGCAATTAAAATTAGAGTTTCTAAGCAAAAAGCAAGCAACTCCGCCCAACAAGCACAAAAAAAAAATTTGGTACACAAAAATTTCAAGTTGACTTTTGGTCCAACTGTACAAAAAGACACAAGAAGTTGGTGCACCAACTGACTTAATTCAATATATTACTATAGTCGCCACGTTAACGCCATTTACACTTTTAAATTGTTGATAATTCTACAATTATTGCATACACATTAACTAAAGGCATAAAAACATTAACGAGAACGTAACAACATAATTCAATAACTTTTAATGCAAAAATGCATATAAGAATGAAAAAAGGGAACCAAATATACCAATATATATAGTATGCATAGGTATATATTCTTATATATTGGTATATATAATATTATTTTATATACTAATTTATAAGAATATGAATACACACGTTTTGTGCGGCCGATTGCAACAGAAAAGGGAGGTGCACAACTAGTTGTTATAGCAATCCGACGTACAAAATTTCAACGTTAATAATTTTTTAGTTATACTAGATACATACATGAAAAAAATCCCTTCTGAATCCATTGTAAATCAGTTTTACAATCGCTTTCGGAGAAAAATCAGTCTTTTATTCTCTCCGTACGTACATACGTCACGCAAAGAAAACCATTCAAATGGATTCAAGAGCGGTCAAAATGTAAATCTTCGTTGAAATAAGATACCCGAAACTTTTTCGGGATTACGATACTTCTTTTACTTCGTACAAGGAAGTAAGAAGGGAGTGGGACTACTTTGTTATTAAATTATGATGTGTGTTTTATAAAACTGAAATTAATAAGACAAGAACTAAAAAGTATATATACAATAATAAGCCAGCACTTCGCTCCAAAATAGATAAATTGCTGTAGAACATCGATTATTACATGTGCATAAGGAATTAAGTTAGAACCATGATAAATCACGTACTAGTTATATATATTTACAAATGTACCGACTTTTCTACATTTTACTACAATGATATTAGTTTTATTATAGCATTTCAAACATTACACGCATATGTTTTATAATAATGATAGTAATAATGATGATGATAATTTCAGTGATGCTGACGGTGATGATTAATGATAATATTTCTTTTTTCCTCATTTTAATGTACGTTTTTGAAGAAGATTAGTTTAATTTCTCTCCTATTTAATATCTAAGCATTCTTATGTTTATCTCATCATATATTCTTATGTTTATCTTATCATTCTTATGTTTATCATAAAATATAAGACTTATGTAGTCTTATGTTTTATCTTCAAAAATTCATGCTATGTTACTATTCGCTACTTCGTAATTTTATTAGCGTCGTCGTAGCATATGATATGCCAAAGAAAATTCAAAAGAATAGTTACATGTTTTTGATATAGTATAATATTGTGATCTTGTGGGGCTTTATTTAATTTTATTAACAGTTAATTTTATTTTGGAAGCAACCTTTTCTATAAACTCTTGCTTTCAACCCGTGCTTTTGTTGCCAGAATGAAATTTTAGTTTTGCGAAACAGTCATGGAAAACAGGGTAGATAGCTACTATTTAAACTGGTGTCTGAGTTACTTCAGGCAGAACATGTTGAGACATTGCTCTGCCTTTCGGCCACGTTGTTTCTCTGCTAGTTAAGCTTGCTATTTTATGACCGGGCAAATTAATTGCCCGTTAGTCTACATCGGTATTAGTTAAGAGCCAACTATGTACAACAATAATATTGTTTCATTTGTTTTCTCATTTTATGAGCAAGTTTAACCGAAGTGTGCATAAAATTGCAACATAGAAAATTAATTCTTATGGCGAAAATATTATTTATTATATTCTTAGTTTGCTAAATTAATATTTTATGCTTTAAATTATATATTTTGATTTCAGGTTACCGCCACATCCATCTGGAAGATTCTAAAGGACAGAAGCTTGACAAAGCAACTCTATTTGTTCACATTCAGAAGTCACAGTATGTGCAATACAACAGAAAATGAAGTGATTTACTGTTGCTTTAGACAATGCCTTCATCCTCTGACAATAATGTACATAACGTTGATGCATAAATATTCGCCAGTTTTATTTCAGTGTCAGAAAACAAATGTACATAAACAATGTATATTTATATATATGTCAATAATTGACAAGTTCATCTGTTATGGCTGCAAAATAGTTAAAATGCTTTTAAATTCTTTTGCTAATTAATTATGAATTATGAAAAATTAGGTTATCTGGCTCTAAAAATATATTTTCATAGATTTTTTAATCTATTTAAGGAAATTCCTTTATAGGTTTCTTCTCAAAGGAAACCGACTATTATCTAAAAAAAAGTTTAAACAATTTACATTGAAAACTTGGATAAAACCATGAAATATCCATGCATTCGAATGCTCCTGTTAATCAAGGTATTGCACAGTTTTAAAACCAACCAGCCACCATTTTAAAAAGTTTAACTAATCGACTATTCCGGGGCTTACACTAAGATACTTTGATGTACAAAACTCTCATCATTAATCATCCTTAAAAATGCCGTACTGTTCAGTATAGCGATTAGCAGAACCTGTGGCTACACAGTTGGATCTGGGCTAGAATCTCGGAAAAGGCGTGGATGATCTATTATCTTAATTCTAAAATATGGATCGTTTTTTGAAAGTCTGCACTAACTGAGTGGTCTCAGATTCAAATTGCAAAAAGGCCGAATGCTCTATGTGAAAGCTGCTGACAAAACAGAACACTTTTTAAATAAACGTTTAAAAAAAATTAAGAAAAGAAGAGAATATCTGAGAGGTTTCAGATTTTAAATTACGTCCAAAGGCGCGTTTTTTTTAACATTTTGTCTGTTACCTTTATTAATTAAATATCACGTTCTTTGCACTTAAGCCATAAAATTCAGTTCAAGAGCAATATTGCGAAATAGTTTTAAATTGATTAGTTTTAAATTGATTAATATCTTTAGAATTTCCGATACACAGTCTAAGGCGCTGGAGGTAAAAATGTTTTTTTTTTTTTTTCTGTACAACGTTGCCATTGCTCGCTTTGAAATCCTTGAGTTTGCTAATCAAAAATTCGTTAAAGTTTTACAAAATATGAAACCGATAATAAAACAAATTCCGAATTTCAAATTTGGGCTTCCACATGCCCATATTCGCAGTAGGATTACGTCATTCAAAATTCGATGACTCTAGGTACCGTTGTTTTATCACAATGCAAGAAATATACATACACTTATACAGATTTTTCATTATTTAATTTCTTCAAATATAATGCAGGACTCTAACATTTGGTGGCAACAGTTTGAAAAGTGAAACGGACATTTATAGTGGAGCAACGCAAAATCTCAAAACGAAACCAATTGTCCTTCAGGGGCAAAGCCCCTTTGGACTAAAAACGAATCAAAAATAAATAAATAAATAAATAAAATAAAATTTAAATTTCACTTGCTAAGTATTTACCAAAGCCTTCATAAACCATAATGATAAAAATACAGAAGAAAAATTTAAATGTATATTATTTTCTATCTGAAGTGCAAACGTTTGTTCTGCGAGAACTTTCTTTGGTTATAAAATACAAATTCATAATCTGAAGTACAGAGGTTGGTCCTGCGAGAAATTGCTGTTAGTCATATTTTGTAATTCAAATGCACTGGCAGCTAAATATTAATTTTTTTTAGACTGACATTTATTACAGGTAATTCCAGTTCCTTCAATTAACTACAAAAAGATATATTTTTAACCTTAACCGGAAATCAAGCTTTTACAGAGTACTGAACTATTATGTTTATTGACTAGTATACCAAGATGAGAAATTTGCCCTATTACCCTATTTACATATACGAGCATGCAGTGAAAAAGACAGCCCCAACCTAATCATTCTATTCTTTTTACTTTAACGGCAATCGCGCGCATAAACTCAGGCCATACCTTTACGTCTCTAAAGTTATAAGCAGCGTATCTGCAACAAATACGTAATTAAAATATATTTATTAATATACTTTAATTACGTATTTGTTGCATACATTAATGTTGCATTTAATTGCATTAATGTTGTTGCATTTTAATTAAAATTGTTGCAGCATAAAATTGTTTCAAAGGCAGCATGCGCGTCGCGAGTTTGATGTCATTGCCCTAGGTGACGAGATGGCTGTTTGAACGTTAAAGGCCGTTCACGCTGGGGTTTATTGAGCTAACGGAGGCAACTGACGTAGCCGATCCATCCCAAAACCAGGTTTTCCCCATGGTTTTCCCGAAACGTATTTGTAAAGTTCAACACGCTAACTTTAATCAGACACTACTTAGTCTAGCGCAGAGAATAGTGTTAAATTTTCGCTGATAAAATTCATTTTTACTGCATGTTAAAAAGAAAATCTTACGCTTTTAATGCAGTGTAATTTTTTTCATCAGTAAACTATTAATATTAGAATAAAATTCTTTTATCTTGTCTTTTTGCGATACAAAGAATTTTACCTTCTTGTCTCATGCATGTAGACTTCAAGTTAATTGAGTCTACATGCATGAGACAAGAAGGTAAAATTCTTAACTTTAACTTGAAGCTAAGAAGTTAACTAAACATTAGCTTCAAGTTAATTGAGAACAAAATGTAATGTTATGTAGAAGTTAAGCAGAAGGCCTCAGACGAATAAGATGTTGTTTTATTTTAGAAGTTTTATATAATTATATACGAAGTGCTTGATTTTTATAATGATAGATTAAAATAATTTGATTAAAACGTGAATGATTGACAAAAAAGGAAGTCTAACTCGATTTTTATGCATGGCATAATCACTGATTGCCCCAAAACAGATTAACTTGCTACTGAATAAAGTAGTACTTTTTAGGCTACAGTAAAAGGGTTTGAACTCTAGTAAAGCAAAACTTTGATATGTACAACTAGACTGATGCTTTTATACAAGTATGGAACTTTCTTCTTTTAGTTTCTGTGTAGTTTTGTAAAATGTTACAAATATTTAATGTTTTTTCCCTTTTTTGTTTACTTTTTTAAATTTTTTGTTTTTATTTTGTTTTGTAGATACATTGAAAATTATAAATGTACAGTGCCTTTTCATCCTGCAGTTCAATTTAACAAATTTTTATATTCTTAATAGCTCTGCATTATACTTGTAAATATGATAATTTTAATTCATGAACTGCTTTCAACATCAGACTGAGCTACAAAGCATTATTTAATATGACAATATGGCCTGATTTTAATCTTCATATATTTTTTAGCTAAGAGGCTGCTATTTTTTAAATATTTGTACTTTCAGATGTCAGTTTATGTTTTTAAATAAAATATATATTATTTTAAATAACGTAAATTTCTAAACCACTTATGATAAAGGATTGAACATATAAATTATTTTATTGAAAATAGCAACCGGACGAAATATTTTCAGCAAAAATATTCTGGCAGCATATGATGTTTTGATAATAATTTACTTAGATTTAATTTGTTCTTTGACAGCTGATGAAAAATATGCATTTTTCAAGATACTGGTAAATGTGCAACTGTTATTTGTGTATTCGAAGTATATCCAGGGGTAAAGGAGAAAACGCACAGTTAATTACTTAATAATTTTTAAGCTACTTTTCCGAAATGATAAAAAATTATAGAATTTAAATATTACAGGTAATATAATGCAGCCAATAACTTTATTTGAGGGTAAAGTGGCTACACTATGATTATAAATGTGAAATTAATGATGGGGTAAATATTTTTGCCATTTGCAGGTGTGATATTAAATTGATTCAGCACATTTTCTCATAGTGATGTAAAATTAACTAACTGCGTTAACAGTGTGTTTTTTTGAACAAACATACACTTGTTCGGGTATATATTTTAATTCTAGTCATTTCATTTATCCTAAATATCCTTGAATAATTAATTACCTTTAAATTACAAAGATGGGATTTCACATTTAACAGCACAAATTTTGCGTTTTTCAATGATGTACTTTTAAGATATTTGTTCCCTTCTCGATGAAAAGGCATCTATTTCATTCAATTTTAAACTTAAAATATTTTAAGCGTACGGTTAATATTCAGCACGGATCAATCACATAAAATATGAATAGTTTTAAGATTCATGTCCCTTAAACAGTTAATTTTTAACTGCCACTTCTACTGATCTTGTACATGCAAGAGGAAACAAGGGAGCAAGCATATTTTGACAATCCCTTGTTCTCGTAACTTTCTTCCTTGGGCCCTTTACTTTCCGTTGACAACTAGATTTAATTTTCGAAACCAGCCGTAGTCTTTGAAAGTTACATAGTATGAAGTTCTTTTCGAGTATGTTTTTTATCGCAATAACGTATTTAATGTATTAAAGTAAAATATTTAAGACAAACAGAAGAGCAATCATTAGATTCGTCTGCTTTAATAAAGCATTATCTTTATTAAAGCAATCGAATAATATGCTTTAATATTGCTTTAATAATATAATATTGCTTTAATAATATAATATTGCTTTAATAATATAATATAGCTTTAATAAAGTATTAGCAGCATTTCAAACAGTATTAATCCTATATTAGAAAACATTTTTAAGAGTAGGAAAATTAGGTTATTCTTACTCATAGCTATTTCTTAATCGACTATAAAATACACTATGGAAATGAGCATTTAATTTTAAAGACTCTTCCCCTTCTAATTCGATCACCAGATACGAATTAGAATGATGTAAAAATCTCTCATTGTTATCTGTGTTGTTTCAGCATATATTTCTAGTGTCGTATGCCGTAGATGTGTGTGAACTTTCTTTTTCCGTCATACCTCGGTAAACGGATTCTAATTCAGCTTTATGAACAATAATAATTTTTTCACACATCATATTTTACTGTACATACTATTTTACCATGCTTAGATATAATGTACATAACATTAAGAAAAAACTGTATGTTAAAAAAAGTATTACCTTTTGTAAAACCATTCCATTTTATAATAAATTTTTAAAATGCAAGCATTGTTTTATTTTTCCGATTACGTAATCTCATTTTTTTTGTACACGTAATTTCGTATGTCAATTTTTTTTCTTAATTTGGAAAAAAAATTAATAGTTATTAATGAATTAATTTTTGTAGCCAAATC